GTAATTTACACAAAATTGCATTAATTTGCGCGCCCAAAGCGAAAACACATGCCACATCGACAGGCAACACGCCACGGCGACAAGTCATGGCAAATTTCTGACATTTCCTTGATTTATATTTCAAATTGAATTGAATTCTCAAAAAATACACAACGTAAATGATCTTGACGTTTCAAATCAATGCAATTATTATTGAATTTTTTTTGTTTAACTTTTTTGTGGAATTTTTTTTTCCTTGATTTGGCTGTTAATTTGAATTTAATTTTCAAATATCGTCCATGCATTCCAAATGGCACAAAATGCATTTTGGCTGCAAACTAGAGAAAACATAATCGTTAGCAGCATTGTTGAACAACGTGTTGCCAATTAAGTGGCACATGCAATGTGCGTGTGCTGCCTAGCAATGGTGCAACGATTTCCATATGGGCAGCACATGCTGGTGACAAACGTGGATCAAACGACGCCCTGGACTGAAATGGAGATGATTTAGTGTCGCCGCGGACCGCTGTCCATAAATGCAACGTTTAAATTAATATGTACCTGAGGCACTAATGAAGCTGCTGTCCACTGGCCACTGGCCACTAGCCCAGAGCACACAACCTGACCAACGTGGTGCGACGGTATTTTTGGAATTTTTACAACACCCCAGTCCGGTAAAAGGGGGGGCCGGAACGGAGCGGAGCCGGGGTCTGTTCACCGGTCCAGTTGCCATTTTCCATTAGTAATAAAATAAAAAAAATACGAGTCGAAGACGAAGCGAAACGTTGAAGAATAATGCGAATGCGAGTAGTTTTAAAATATGGTAGAAACACCAAAGCAATGATTTATGGCTGTTGTAAATAAAGAAATTAAAATGCTTTTATGGTCAACAGGGGGGCATGCATCGGCTTCTGTTTTAGCGTGGCCAACTACTTGTTGCGACTTCAAATAAGAAGCCAAAACTAATTGCCTAAATGTTGATAAGACTATTGTATGCATGCACCGACTGGGGAAAAATTTGGCAATATATTGGCAACACCCCCGCCATTGTTGCTCTTGCCGGCAAAGTGTCCTTAATTAAAATTTCTTGCATGTTAGCAACATTTTGCTACAGCAAATTGTTGGCAATATTAATGTGGCTCTGTAATTGGTTTCTCAAGTCAAAGTCACGTTAAGTCTATTACAAGAAATACATTTTGGCAGTATGCACTTGCCAGTTGCATAACTTCATTTGTTGTTGTTGTTTTTGTTGCTGTTTTTGTTGCTGTTGTTTGCCAACAAGCAGGTTTAAGCAGTTCAAAACCACCACCACAAACCAAGCAGCAGTTAAAGCTCAACTGGTTGATTGGAAAGAAAGACGCCATTTGTATGTATTTCTAGTGTAATAAATTAACACCAAAAGCTCATCGCAATTGCCTGACCCAATGTCCAGCGGGCATGCGACAAATTTATACACACACAAACACACAGACACATATATATATATATACATACATGTGTATGATTGTGCATAAAAGTGCAACTGTAATTGGCAACGCAACATTGCGTCGCGTCTCGTCGCGTCGCGTTGCTTCGTGGCCAACCGGCGCCGTCCGAATTTGGATGGTTTCTGCCACTAAAAGCTTAGAACAAGCTCGTTAAACGTTTTCAGATTGCATTGCGCTATAAATTCTGACAAAAATGTTACTAATGATGTGTTATGAAAGGCACTCATAAATCGTTTGATTTCATTACAACATTTTGCCAAAGGGGCCGCGAGATATGTTCAACACATTTTACAAATATACAATCTAAGCCAAATATTGCTGTTCCTCGTTTCTAATAAATAAGTGTGTTGCAGGCATACATTTTACATTCCTCAAAATGAGAGCAGATTTTATTACGCTTGCCTATCTAGTTCCATTGTTATATAGATTTGCTTTATAAATTTCACTCGGAGCAAAAGTAAAAAGTCTGATCCGGGCGCTGCATGGGTGACCCTGAGGTGGCTGCAACTCTTTCAGATCAGGCACGCTAAGATCACACACGAAAGCCGCTAACAAGTGTTGCATTTCCAGGAACGGGAAGAGGTGAGGCTCCATCGAAAAGGCGCTCGTGCCTGGCCAGAAGTTAACAATTGTGTTGGCCGACCTCAATGATCTGCTGCTGCTCTGACTGCAATACATGTACATATTAAAAACAAAATCACATTCTGAACTATAACTTACAGGAAATTATAGTTGCCAACACAGCATAGATGGCGCCAGTGAAAACGCCTGCATTTCTTGGCTGAAAATCTGGTTCGAGCCTAACCATAGGTGCTCACAAGACAGCACATGGGGGGATTAAGTGCTTAGGACCTAATCATCCGCGGAGTGAAAAAAGCCACCAGGCAATTGCACCTGCTCCAATTGCAGATGCTCCTTCCATTCCGAGGATTGCGCTAAAGCTTTCCTGAGAATCGCATGTGATTTGGAGATAAGTTAAATTACCAAGGGTCAGAAGAAATGGGCACTTTGGATCTTCTGCTGTCGAAGAACACAAGCCGCTAGAAACCCTGCAAAGCGAACCAAAAGTGTACCTGGGCCGCTCCACTCCAGTTGCCCGGGTCGGGAGAGAACGGAAATTTGTTCAGTGCCACAAATGATCATGATTTTAGTTCAACATTCAGTAAGCAACTGGTGCAGCAGCAGCAGCGGCAGCAGCATCTGATGATGATAAATGTGTCGTTTGCTCTGTGGCAGTTCACATGAAAAACACATTACGCGCCGTCGTTTCTTAATGTTCAATAATGATGGAAAAATCATGACACAAACCTCACAATAATGTTGATAAATCAAAGCAAATATATATATATATATATGTGCACAGAGATCTATAGATATTTACGCTTACAGTTACGGCGCATTGTTGTTATACTCTAAGCGTGAGCCAATCAATTTGGTCATTCAATCTGTCCCATGGAGGAGCATCAACTCTCCTAGGAACACTTTAAACTTCCATAAAAACAGAACTTTAATAGAACTGTGGGAAATAATTGCGATAGGGCATTGAATGTTCGGCAAGCTTTGTTTTTCGTCTTTTTTTTATCTTCTTAGTGTTGACATGGCCAGAACCGAACCAGGCAGTAAAGTTATGAACCTGCGACGCTAAATCAGCCATATGCATGAGGCACGTAGCAAATATACAAAAATGACTAGCAACACGTTGCCAGCCACCGCCGCAGACTTGTTGACGGCAGCTTTTGTCTTGTCTGGCTTATTATACCCAGCGCATTGCAGCAGTGGGGTATATATGTTTAACAATCTATAAAAATAAAAAATGTTGCTTTGCAGCTTTCTAAGTCAAAAATGATTTTGATTTCACTGATTATGGAATATCTATTTAAAGTTTATAGCTATCAAATAGTAGTGGAATTTCTAATGATCTCTTGACTTGTTCTCCATGAATCTATGAAGTTCTAAACTGTTATAGATGTTGATATAAACCGATAACACACCTATTGTTTTTTAAATAAATTTGTAAAAGAAAAAGTTGTAAAATTGATTATTGATTAAGTACTTGAAACAGTAAATATAGAGTATGGCCTAGTTTGGTAAACAAAGTGCAAAATAAATGTTTGCCTCATTGGTGCTGTTGTTATTGCTGTTGCTGCTGCTGCTATTCGAGCCATTAAAATATATAGTTAGTGTTATTGCTGTCAATATGAGAGGTTGGCAATGGTTCGTGGCAGACAAAAAAAAAACAACAGCACATGTCAGATAACTTGGCTTGTTAATAATGTTGCTGCTGGCTGACTGGCCAAGTTGCTGATGTGCATTCGTTGCTGATGATATTGATGTTACCATAATCACGATCTAATTTATTTACAAATTTGTGTTGAAATCATACGTTCGCAGAAGTCGTGTTTAAAAAGGTTCTTTATGATTTATGCGCACGTTGAAATACCAAAATGATTGCAACAAAATTTCTCACAGTCCTCAAAGATAAGCTGTGTATTTTATTGATTGGCATTGTCCAAAGGACGCAGTTGATCCCACAGCCAGGCGCAGCCAGTCCACATATATTCATTTTTTGAACCAGGCCCAGGAACCGCTCTTGATGCGCTAATTTAGATTTATATTGCAAAATCGCAACTGGCCTAATGCGTGATGTTGTTGCCGCCGCCAGGCCAGGCCGTGCCACATCTGCAACTAGCCACCCAGCATCACCGCCACAAAAGCATGCAGCATGTGCTCCATTTGTCATGCAGCCGATCGTGTGCCGCTTGCCGCAGCTGCGATTTTCACATTTTAAGTGTGCACAGCCAACCAACCAGGTGAGATGCGCCTTGGGAAAAGCTATGCAAAAGTTTCTGCATTAATCTCTTGCTCTCTCATTGCCGCCCGTAAAATGTTGATAAATTGATTCGATTGTTTGCTTCATAAGATGTCAGTGCCAACGAGCATCCAGAGAGCGAGAAAGAGGGAGATTGTACTCAAATAAACATATCAACATGATAAATATGCGACCTATAAGCAACTGCAGTTATCGGACAGTGTCCGGGGCTACACGCAAAGCGAAGGACAAGCGCATAAATCAGTTGCCTTTTTTAATCGCTGATTTCCGCTTCACTGGAAATGAAAACAGAGACGACAGCTACAGTATTACAAACTGGTTTTTTGGACCCGGCCATGTCACAAAACAATGTCAATGACAGACACACAAGCTTTTGGGGCAGCCCTCGTAAAATTTGCTGATCGATCAGAAAGTGCAGAAAGTACTAAAATTTGAATTAAACAAAATATATAATCGTAATTTGAAATTAATTACAAACCTAATCTAACATTCGTATTACGAACACTTTTGGATAACCCTAAAACAGCATTGAATTTAAATTAGAGTACATCTGAATCATTTCTGGTAGCAAAGCATTATTCAATAATAAAAAAATCATTGAATTTTAATTAGAATACATTCGAAACATTTCTGGTAGCAAAAGCATTCGTCTAATTTACACTGCACAAAACTGCGACTCATATTTTAGGCTATACAGTTGAATGTTTACTAAAAATTACATTTGTTTATTAAATCCACACATTTGAATTAACTTCGGTTTTTCTATTTTTGTTTTGTTGTTGTATTTAACGCAATCAATGCATACTTGCTGATGTTGTTGTTGTGGTTGTTGTTGCTCTTGTTATAAAACTTAAACTTTTACATAACCTTGGCCTCGGCGATGTCATCCAAAGGCTTGCTGGGTGGGGGAATCTTGTACTCCGTCTCTGGGGTCTCATAGATCTTCTCCTCCTTGGGCTCAACGACGGACACGTTGTCGGGCAGCGGCTTCTTGGGTCCAATCTTGTTCTTGGGATCATAGGGCAACATGATCTTGACCTTAATGCCAAGCACACCCTGGCGCAGCAGGACGTGACGTGTGGCTGTCTCGACATAGTCGTTGCATGGATCACCAGAGTGAATCATGAGTCCATCGACGAACTTCATCGACTTGGCGCGCTGACCACGCAGCTTGCCAGAGACAACGACCTCACAGCCCTTGGCGCCCGACTCCATGATGAAGCGCAGCACACCATAGCAGGCACGGCGCACAGCCAGACCTCCGGTCAGCTTGTAGCGCAGCGACTCCGCCTGGGCAATGGCGCAGAGGCCACGAGTGGCGACCTTCTCGGCGTACAGCTCGATGCGGCCCGTCTCGAAGTTGAAACGCTTCTGCACCATGGCGGTTAGTTCACGGATGCGACGGCCCTTCTCGCCCAGCACTTGCTGCGTCTTGGTGGCCATGATGATGATCTCAGTGCGGGAGGGAGTCACACGCACCTCAACACCGGAGTAGCCATCCTCGGCGAGCTCGCGAGTCAGGAACTCGTTCAACTCCGCCTTGAAGATACCGTCGGAGACGAACTGCAAATGGTGCAAGAAAAGAATAGCCAAATGTTAGTCATAACATATTTCCCACAGCCACAAAAAATTATCACTTGTCACAATTGATTCGGGATTTGTGCTCCACGCCAATTGAAGACGCCCGCGATTTGAGGTTAAATTTGGTTTCGTATTGTTTTTTGAGGCAGCTTCACTGTTTGCTCACACAACTCGATGCACAAAATGTGAACACAATTTGGGTGCACTCTTTGTACTAATTTTGAAAGCAATTTTCGTTTAATTACCTTACGTTTCTTCGAAATGTTTAGGTTCATGTTCATTTCATACGACTCGCACGGAACGTGGTCAAAAAGAAAGAAAGACAGCGCCCTGCTTTACCGATAACATGGCCGTCGCACTGCTTTGCCATCTCAGCGGGTTGCTCAAAATTAATATCGATGAATATATTTAATAAAATCGCTGCACTTATTTGTGTGATTCCTCTAAAAACTCTTATCAGGCGATTCCGCATGAAGAGCTTAGAAGCAACCATCATTTATATCATGACTTATTTCCAATATAACTTCAATCTTTACATTTTCTACATAAGCGAGTACTTCTTTGACTATCGATTACTTCAAATCAACTCTCTGCACGAAAATTGCACTAAATATGGACAAGTACCCGGCTGGCGTTCAAATCATATTGTACCACAACGTATTATCGATTTATTGGTATCATCGATAATTTTACAGCTGGGGAACAAAGCAACCAATTGCGTCTCATTATAAAAAAGCGAAAATAAATAACAAATCAAACGAAACGCAATTTCCAAAATGTCGGAAATAAAGGCGTTGGAGCACGCCACGCTAAAAGTGCCATACGAGATACTGAACAAACGCTTCCGCTCAGCCCAAAAGATAATCGACCGTGAAGTCGATCAAGTAATGAATGTTTCCCGTCAAGTGGAAAAGGCCTTGGACGCCCAGCAACCTCCAATTCTATCAGACATGACCAAGCTAGTGGCCAATGTTGAGCAGAAATTGCAGGTGCTCAAGCGCAAGGCCGACGAGAGCATCAACGATGAGCTGAACGTCACACAAATCTGCAAGCGCAAGCTGGAGCACCTCAAGGGCATAATCCCACGCAGCAATGGTGATGTTTGCCTGGGTTCGGTTGATCAGTGGAAGCGCATTCGACTCGATCGCTTGGTCATCGAGCATCTGTTGCGCATGGGTTACTACGAGACGGCTGAAGAGCTGGCAGCCCGTTCGGATGTGCGCCACCTGACCAATCTGGACATCTTTCAAACGTCTCGCGAAGTGGAGGACGATCTGGCTAATCACAGCACAACGAAATGTGTGCTCTGGTGCATTGACAACAAGTCAAAGCTGCGCAAAATCAACTCAACCATTGAGTTCAGCCTGCGTGTGCAGGAATTTGTCGAGCTGGTGCGTCAAAATCAACGCTTTGAGGCTGTCAAGCATTCTCGTCGCTACTTTCCCGCTTACGAGAAGACCCAGTTGAATGAGATCTGTCACGTCATGGCCCTGCTGGCCTATCCGGCTGACACCGATATCGAGCATTACAAAAAATATACAGATCCCAAACGCTGGGAGCAGCTGGTTCTTGACTTTCGTCACGAAAACTATCGCCTCTTCCAGCTGTCGAACACATCAGTCTTCTCAGCAGCCGTACAAGCGGGGTTATCAGCATTGAAGACGCCACAATGCTACTCGCAGACCTGCCGCAATCTCAACTGTCCCGTCTGTCAGGAGGATCTCAATCGGATTGCGCTCAAGTTGCCATATTCGCACTGTGTGCAGAGTCGACTCATTTGTCGCGTCACCGGCAAGCCACTCAACGAGCACAATCACCCGATGATGTTGCCAAATGGCCAGATCTATGGTCGGTCCGCACTGCAGAAGATAACCAAAGAAGATGGCACCATTACTTGCCCGGTTACAAATGTTAAGTTTACCAAACCCAAAATCGACAAAGTATTTATCATGTAAGCTGACCACACAATGTCAGCTCCCTAGATGTTGTTAAAATCAAATCCTTATACAGTAGTCGCTGGAAAACTTTATTATCGCTCAACTATCCTCAGTTCTGAAGCACTTATTGGATATTATGATTCAATTAATTTTCCTTCAATTGAATTGCCGTAAAAGACTGCCGTAATATGTGATTCGATGATCAAATATTATCGGCTTAATTTTCAAGCGATTACTGTACTATCATTATGTTAAGCAAAAGACTATATTTTGTATAACTCATATATATATATACGTATTTATTAAGTAGCGCTTCACATGTCAACAAGAACTGCGCATTTGAATTTCGATTACGACTAAATAATTCTTTCGTCCAGCATTTGCTTGGCGTCGCTGCGCCGTCGCAACTCTATTGATTTTTCGTGGCAGCGCTGTCGGTAACAGCAGCAGCAACAACAGCAGCAGCAGCAGCAGGAGTATGTCGATGTTGATTCATGCTGTGTGCAACGCGGACGACGTTATTTAATTCCTCCTAAGTGAAAAAAAAAACACTTCAAATATATCAATATAAATAAAGAAAAATCATATAAATAAGCCAAAAAGCGTAAAGCGTTTTCTTCTCCAATTCCAAATTCCTTTTGGATTTGCGTTGCCAATTTCAATAGCTGTTCTTTTTTTTTGTTGTCGCAGCTCAGCTGATAAAATGCCCAGGGAAAATGTGTGTAAATTAATAACAATTCGATGAATGCGCATCACAATAATTAACCCAGCGTCAGCTTCTTGTAAAAACAGCTGCGTATTCTATTCCCGTAACAATATCAAATAACAACAACAACAAACAGATACATATAAACACGAAATACGTTGCAACCCCCACGGCCAAACTTCCACAACACAACCACCACCACGTCTATTGACACCACCAAAGAATAAAAAAAAATAAAAGAAAAAACAATCCCATCTGTAATATAAAACCCGCTCGAGAGCATTTCGCAATATGGCATTGGATTTTGTGGCCACCTACAAAGTGCTCGTGCTGGGTGACTCCAACGTGGGCAAAACATGCATTGTCCACAGATATTGCGATGAGAAATACTACGACACATACATCTCCACCATCGGTAAGTCAAACGAGATGAGTAAGAAATATATGTAAATGTTGTGTGTCTGTGTGCGTGTGTCTATGTGTGTGTTTATCTTTTCTTCTTTTGCGTTCCCATTTAGGCATTGACTTCAAACAGAAGCTCATTAACCTAGATGGTGTGCCGATAAAGCTGCAAATCTGGGATACGGCCGGACAGGAACGTTTTCGCACACTAACCACAGCCTACTATCGCGGCGCCATGGGCATTCTGCTCATGTACGATGTGACCAATCTGGAGAGCTACAATAACTTGTCCTATTGGTTGCGCAACATACAGGAGAATGCCTCACCCGATGTAGTCAAGGTGCTGGCTGGCAACAAATGTGAATGCTCGACGACACAGCGGATGGTGGACAAGGATAGAGGTGAAAAGGTGCGTCACAGATTTGTAAAATAAAAACAGAATGGCAACATTTCATTTTCAAAAATAAGAGTATATAATTCAAGAATTTATAATTTCTGAACAATCATTGCATGTATATTTAAAAGTTTTCCATATGTGCGAAATTAATTAATATTATCTTATAAATAGAATCTAAATTTGTAATGCAATGCGTCATTTTCAGATTGCAGAAAACTTTGAGATGCCATTTTTCGAGGTCTCTTGCAAATCCAACATAAACATCGAGGATGCATTTTTATCGCTAGCTCGTAAAATACGCGAACAACGCGAACGACGGGTAAGTTAAAAACAAAATCTAATTTCATTTAATGTGTGTAACGTTTAAATTGCATTCTATTAATAGGGCGACAATTTCGACAATGACGAGAAGCAGGACAAGAAATCACCGGGTTCCAATGGTCTGGGCACCTTTAGTCTGGGCAGTCTATCCGGCGATAATCGCTGCACCTGCTAAGTCCTCGACAGCAATGCGTTCGTGTCGTCGCTGTAACCTGAATAAGTTGTCCAAAGTTTTGGAAGGCATTGTACAACTAGCAACAGAAATTCATGTAGCCAAGTTTGTGCATGTTATTACCAATAACAATAATAATTATGATGTGTAACGATAAAAAAAAACAAACAAATATTTTAAATGCATCAAAGCAGAGCAAAGAGAACAGTCAAGCCTATGTAAAACGTACAGAATGTGCATTTTTAAGATAGTCCAAGAATAGCATAAAAATTTTAGCATATTCGTGCAGATACATAAATAATAATAGTCGATTATAGTCGCGTCATGAATTCTACATTAACTAACTCGTGTACTCGATAAGCTAAATAAGTCTATATATTAAATATATATATATATGCAAATATATATATTGTATAGAAATCGTATATACATAGCTATAAAGTTCTACGCAAAATCTGAATGTAAGCCGCCTGTAACGATTAAAGTTACAATTACAAACTTTTAAAGTAAAGCAAATTTAATGTCTCAATGGACTTTGGTTTGCTTTGGATCTGATCAATTATACATACATATATATACATATATATATACATACTTGCATACGAATTACAACAAAACAGAAAACCAAAAAAAAACCCCAATTGCTCAATTTTAATTTCATAATATTCATGATTTATGCATAGCAGTAGCGCAACTGCTGTCAATCACAATCAATCGAACTGTCAATTACCACTGATGGCCTTATGATATCCTGGGGTCCATCTGTATATATGTGGCGCCTAGCAACCACAATTTGTCCACAACGAAGATACGTGACAATGTATCTCTTAGAAAGAGATACCAGTTGTAGTTGGATTTTTGGGCTGCTTTGACAATCGTCACGATTCACTTGGATGACATGAAAAAGTTTCGGAATAAAGCGAGCTCCTTGCCAATCTTCAATGGACGCATTACAGACGCAACCACATTGACAACAACATCGCTGCAGCTGCCACTGGTTGCTGCACAAAATAAGAATCCGCCCTCCTCTCGCAAACGTAGCTCCCGGGCCTTACCCACAGTTTTCACCATTACGGACGGCAACACAGGGGCACCTAGTACATCTCTGGCTGAGGCAATGTCCACAAGTCAAATGCCGCAATCCCCGGATCAACCGTTTCAGCAATTGATGGTGCCGAAGGAGCAGGAGGAGGAGCAGGTGATTCACATAGCCGGCACCGAGCTGGCCAACTACGAAAAGGTGCGCGTTGTCGGTCAAGGTTCCTTTGGGATTGCCATCCTCTATAGGCGCAAATTTGATGGTCATCACATTGTGTTTAAGCAAATCAATTTGAGTGAATTGTCGCCGCCGGGTCGCGATTTAGCCATGAACGAGGTGGAGGTCTTCTCCAAGCTGCACCATCCCAACATAGTCAGCTATCTGGGCAGCTTCATCAAGGATAACACGCTGCTCATTGAAATGGAGTATGCCGATGGCGGCACTCTGGCCCACATCATTGCCGAACGACAGGGCAAACAACCCTTTCCGGAACGCTACATTATTGCGGTCTTTGAGCAGATATCCAGCGCTATTAATTATATGCACTCTGAGAACATTTTACATCGGTACAAATAGTATATATTTATATATATCTAAATAGAGCGTTACATTGAGTTGTGTGATCTCTTTCTTAGCGATCTGAAGACAGCGAATGTGTTCCTCAACGGCCGAGGGATTGTGAAAATTGGTGACTTTGGCATATCCAAGATTATGAACGCAAAGATTCACGCACAAACAGTGCTTGGCACACCCTACTACTTCAGTCCCGAGATGGTAAGAGTCTTAAATCATATTTATTTTATATATTTTAAATTGCATAGGAATTTAAATACTTTGAAATATAAAAAAGGTTTACAAACAATATATATCTACCAAACTAAGGTTTCCCACAAGAGATTTATTTGCAACCTAGTAGAGCAACTTCTCAATCTAGAGGACCAGAATTAATCTACCGTATTATTTAGCTTGTTCAAATAATTATTAAATAAGTTTTATTTTCTCGTAACATTTCCAGTGCGAGGGCAAGGAATACGATAATAAAAGTGACATCTGGGCCTTGGGCTGTATTTTGGGTGAACTGTGCTGCTTGAAGAAGACTTTTGCCGCCTCCAATCTATCGGAGCTGGTGACAAAAATCATGGCTGGTTCTTATACAGCTGTGCCACTCGGCTACACTTCGGGATTGCGCAGTCTTATGGCCAATTTACTGCAGGTGGATGCGCCAAGGCGACCCACTGCATCCGAGGTATTGGTCTATTGGATACCCTTAATATTTCGCAGCCTAGGCAAGAATAAAGGGTGAGTCGTGCAAATGCATTAATTGAGATTCTTAACATCGTCATGGATTCCACTGGTAGTTACACCTATGAGGATAATGTGAGCAGCAATGGCTCTTTGTCAGCTGCACCAAATTCACTTTTTGCCAGCCGCAGTAATTTGGACATGGAGCTGCCCACCGCCCAAACAGAGACCAGGAAGCTGATGAGTGCCGAGACTGTTGCACCACATGAGGTTATCGAGAAGCGGTAAGCTGAATAATTGAATCCCAAATGACATCACTACTAAAATCATTTGTAGTTCTGTTCTGTACCAGTTGAAGTCATTTGGAAACAGCTTCAGTATGAGTCCCATACAACTGCCACCAAAGGCTTTCATTGTCTGTGTGGCGATGAGTGAGTCACATTTTGTGGTGATTAACGATGATGGATCAGCATATGCCTGGGGCGAGGGCACTCACGGCCAACTAGGTCTGACCTCGCTGGAGACCTGGAAGCATTATCCCGGTCTGGTGCAGAGTGTACGCAATTATCACATGGTCAGCGCTTGTGCCGGCGATGGCTTCACTGTATTCCTAACACAGTCTGGCAATCTGCTCAGCTGTGGCAACAATCTCAAGTTTGCTCTCGGCCAGGATGAACAAAGGGACTATTTCACGCCCAAGCTAATTGTTAAACTGGCAGATGTCCGCATCGAGCAGATTACGGCCGGAATGCATCACGTTATGGCCCTGAGTCGCGAAGGTGCCGTCTACGTGTGGGGCACAAGCTCCACGGGGGCACTGGGACTGGGAAATTACCAGCAACAACAGTAAATAATTTCTAGGCTATAGAAACTCTACATTCTCTAATTTTCTTAATATCCAATTCCGTCTTCTTCAGAAAACATCCACAAAAGATACTCTTGTCGCATGTGAAGAGCAAACCCATGCAGATATTCTGCGGACCAGACACTTCAGCCGTACTCTTTACCAATGGGGAACTGCATGTGTGTGGCAGCAATGATTACAACAAACTGGGCTTCAATCGTACTGCAAGGATCACAGCTTTTGTGGGTACCATCTAAATACAACTTACGAATATGCATTTGATTTCAAATATTGTATTTCAGAAGAAAATACAACTGCCTCATAAGGTGCTAAAGGCATGTTTCTCGTCCACACATTCGGTGTTCCTAATTGAGGGTGGCTATGTCTACACAATGGGCCGCAATAAGGAAGGACAACGAGGCATCCGGCATTGCAATACTATGGAGCAGCCCACCCTGGTGGATGCAATACGTTCCCGTTACATTGTGGTTGGAATATTTGCAGCACTTTCGAAATACAAAACGATTATTCAAAGTAATTAACATCCTTCATTTGCAGAAAGCAAATTGCAATGATCAGTGCACCATAGTTGCCTCGGAGGATAATATTATCACTGTGTGGGGCACCCGTAATGGTTTGCCGGAAATTGGGTCCAGCAGCAGTGCCTTAGGTCTGGAGGTCTGCAATCCGAATGCTGAAATGGAGCTGAGCAACAATACGGCTGCATTTACCAATTTCCTGGCATCGGTCTACAAGTCCGAATTAATTATGGAACCAGTGGATATATTGGCGTAAGATGAGTCTTTAGAAACCATCTTTTAATAAACTATATTATTATTGTTGTTACTTTTCTCCTTCCTCAGGCTGTACTCATCTAAGGAGCAATGTGAACGTGGATACTATGTCCAGGTGAATGATGTGTTTCCTCTGGCACACAGCGTATTGGTGATGGTAGAAACCACGACACCACTCATATCCTCCTTTGAGGGATAACTTTCAAAGACTCGCCTTTTATCTTATTTCTTTTATTAATAAAAATTAATGAAAATATTTTGTGACATTTACTGGTAGTAACCACGTTTACCCGCCTCCTCCACAATTGTTTGCACAGCTGCAAAGGCTTCACGGGCCGTTGGCTCAATTTCCTTGGCCGACAGGATGAATAGTTCCTCGCTTTCCGGCGGGCCACGCAGCTCAAACGTAAAAGTAATTGGCACCTTTAGCTGGCTGTGGGCCCAGTCTTTTGACCCACCACTGGAGGGATATATTGTCTCAAAAATACTTCCACTCTTATAGATGCGTCCAGTGAGCGATTTGATGCGTTCCGCTGCCAGCTGACCAATTGCCTTGAGATCCGCATAGTTCTCGACGCGCTCTGCCGTGTGACCATAGGGGAACATGATGAGCTGGGAGTAGCTGTGCAGTGATAAATAGGTACGAATACGTTCCGGCTGGGCATGTGTCTCCAGGAACTGGATAATGCGTTGCGTTTCCACCTCACTGGCCGCGGACGGTCCAGAGAAATCATATTTACAGGGATTGCCACTGGCGCCCGTGGTGTTCCAACTAAGTGGAAAGTTGCGATTCAGATCGACGCCGCGACAAATGCCAAAGAGATTGCGGTTCTTGCGCCACATGCGATCCCCCGTGAAGCTATAGCGATAACCATCCGGATTGACAGTGGGAAAGATCAACCAGTTGTGGGCGCGGGCCAAGCTCTGCACCGAAGGATCAGTGGAATGCAGCAGTTGCTCAATAAAATATGTGGCAGTAGCTGGTGCAATCCACTCGCGTGCATGGATGCCACTCTCGATGAACACGGTAGTCTGATTCTTCTCACTAGCAAAGGCAATTTTCACCCCCTTGATCGGCAGTCCTTGAGTGCTCAATCCCATGTCCAGCATAGTTACCACCTGGGGCTCCTCGCGGGCCAGTTTCTCCAACCAGTCGTAGATGTTGTCCAGATGAAAATAGCGCTTCCAGTCGAACTGATCCGCCGGTGTGCTCTCTGGCGCCACCTCCCGATAGTTAGCGTCTATCAACTCCTGGAAATTGTAGTTGAGTATACGATGGCTCACATTGTAGCTCTGCAGAAGATCATCGAAGTCGGCCACCTTAGGTGCGGCCACCATAATCGTGAGCTTCTGACCAGCGACACGCGCATGTCCCATAAAGCTGCATGAATCACTAGCCTCCTCCAGCGCCTGAAATACCTGCACATGTTTGGCAGTGGCCAATTCCACATTATATATTCGCGTGTAATCGTAGCGTGCCTGTGCCGCAGGACTTCCCCCCAAAGCACATTGATCCGACCTGGTGCAGAAACTAGCAGCTCGAGTGCCTGAACTGGCCAGAACCACACACAGCACAAACCAGAGAAACCACATCTTCACACTCGAGCAAGCGAAAAACAATTGGATGTTGCCTTATCAATATCACCTTTAAGAGCAGCTTTGATTAAGATTTCGCCTACACAAATACATGCATATTTTAATGTATGTATGTGTGTGTGTGTGGTATAAGTGAAACAGAATGACAAAGAAAGAATAACAAAAATGGGCAGTGAGAAAAATATTCTAATTTGCTTCTTTTGTTTGACATGGAAAGAGACTTGAAATGTTGGAAATCAAATTTTCAATCGATTACCAGACAAATTATTGAATGAACACATTTTATTTTTTGAAATGAAGTTGAATAATTCAAGTAATTAAAATATTTAAATATTTTTTTTATTTATAATTCAAAGCAATAATTCATGAATATATTTGTATATTTTTTTTTAACGATCAATCTGAATTCATTTGAATAGCGAATCCATCCCTGCTGTCAAATATTTGGTCACACTGTCAGCTGCTTCTTAATAATAATGATTCTAATGGAGTCACAATTTGATAATACAGAGTAAGTTCGGTGGAACCATCTCAATTCGGGCACTTAAAATAATATTTATGACAGCGAAAACTACTGGAACCGCTCCTCGAGAGCTGCCTTCAGCTTTGATGACGAAGATGACATCGATCTGGGAGATGTTGGCGCCAGAATTAGCTCAGGACCAGCGAACCAAAACGATAAATGGGACAATAATGCAATATTCAATGACGACACCATTTCGGAGGCCAGTTTCGATAATAGTGCCGCACTGGGAACCCTGAATCATCTCTCCATCAAGGCCATATTGAGCGATGAAGCACTCAAGTTGGTTTTGCAAGAACAATCGCTGGACGATCATGTCATGCCCAAGGGCGTTACACCCGAGGAAGAACTGAAGCTGATGCGACGTCAAATTCAGAGTACACTGTACAGCCCCAATCTGGAGGCGACGGCTCAGAAACTGCAGCACGGCAAAGTAGCGCCGCTGGAATTGTTCAAATCACTGCTCGAGAAGCAACAATTGCTGGACACGCTGCTGGCTAATGGCGGCGATGCAGTAATTGGAGTGCTGTTGTTTCTCAAGCGCACGCTGAACACCAACCAGTTTCATAGTATACTACAGCAGCGACCCAAGGCGTTGGAGCACTATCTCAGCTATCTGAATCAGAGTGGTGACATAAGCCTCTACATTGAGATGCTGCAGCGTTTTGGGCGTCACCAGGAAGCGGCTCTCAGGCAGTTTCAGGCTGCCCTGGCATGCACGGATGTTGTCACGCGTAAACAGCAGCTGAAGCGTCTCGTGGATGCTTATGCCACCGCCGGCGTGGGCATCATTCCACTCTACGAGCAGGTCTTTCATGCAGCACTCAAACTGCAGTTGGTCAAGGAAAAGGAAACCATTACCAGTGGGCTAAGTCAACAGCTTAGCGACCAGCCGACGCCTATTGAACTGCTCTATGTGTGCTGTGCCCAGAATAAGAACTGGAAGGAACAGGATATGCTCAAGCTCACCTCGCCCCAACGGTTTGCCGCCGATCAGGAAATCTCATCGGCCCAATACGAATGGACTGCGCTCAATGAGCGAGCCCATGCCCAAGCCTATGGCGACTTGGAGTGCATCTTTGTGCGCGCACCCACATGGCATTCGCTCAAGTCGAAGAAGTTTCACATCAGCTTCGATTTGGCGCTGGCCGTGCAGCGTCTATTTGAGCTGCAGGCACCATCAACGGTGCTGCAATTGTTTCTGTCCAAGATGAACAACAGCACCGAAAAGTTGGCACTGGCGCAACGTGTCAAATGCGTCAAGGCCGTCATCGATGCTATGGTGAGCATGAAACAGCAACAGGAACTGCAACAATTAAAGGAGACGCTGCCGGACAGATCCGAGGAACAGTTCTATTGTGAAAATGCGCTCAAATCGCTGCAGAGCAAACGCTGGACAACGGACAATATCAAACTGAAGCTTTAGCTAGCGACGCCACAAGACTTCTGTATAAATGTATTGTTTTTATTATTTTGTTACTAATCATATGTATACACATATCATTATTATAATATTACTTTATGTATTAAATAATTGCAAATCACAAGCTGAATATCAATTGAAAATGTTTGCCTACACACATCGGATTATGATTAAGGATTAGGATTCGGATTGGCATTAGGTTGTAAGGTGAACCCGCTTAGATCGAAATGATCTGTGAGCATCCCTTGTGGGAGGGTGTTTGTGTTGGTATTTTTGTATGTGTGTTCGATAAACATTTTTATTATATTTTTATTGAGTAAACAAAAAAGCGTGTAAAGCCAACAGCAAACAAAGTACTACAAAAATTAAATTCTTTAAACAATTTGTTTGCCTTAAATAGTTTCCTTAAATAACATCGCTATAAAAGCTATTCATATAAATATGCGCAGAAAACCGCAAACAACAATTATGTAATTAAGTATAAACACGTCTGGGCGGTTAATAGACAATAATATGTAATATTTACTTGTGTGTGTGTGTGTGGTGTATGTGTGTGTGTGTGTGTGTGATGATGTAGTGGATACAGCAAACAACGCCATTAATGATCTTTGGTTTCCTGCTCGAACTCACAACAAATCGTAAAAACTTTAAATTACAACCAAAAAAAGAGGGGAAAAAACACAATCAACTTTCAACTTAAGCGAGTTGAATGAAAAAATAACTAAGAAAATTCAAAGCAAGAACCATAAGTCCTTTGACCAACACCATGGCCGATGGGCCCATTGCTAATTGCTGGCATTGGCATCGTGATCACAGTAGCTGAGCAGTCGCTGGCACAGGATCGTCTTGAACTTGACCGTGAAACTATCGAAAATGGCATCGGTGTCCTGCAGCGCACTCGCCGACGACTGATCGCTATCCGCCGCTGCAATCAGCATCTTGAACTTCTGATTGAGATTCTGTTCAAGAGCCGAATTGTTGTTGTTAAAGTAAAATACATATGCTAGCTCCAGCAGATAGTAATCCAGATCGGCCATAAAGTAACGCTCGCATTCGAGCATATCGAATTTGCGCTCCAAAAAGTGCACACACATGTGATAGATAAGATGCTTGAGATCTGAGCGATGCAGGGGCACATAGCCCGTGTCCTTGCTGAAGTACTCGAATAGCTTGAGGGTGCGTTGCGCAGTATCGCAGCTGTGCAGGCACAGCTGGAATGCCTCCACGAACCTGAAGTTGAGCATACAAATCCTAATCCGATACTCGTTACGCTGCGCACGAGAGCATTCGCCGATTTTATCCGGATTGTACAGCCCATGGAAGGCGTATAGGCAGTAATGTATATAATGGCGCAACGGCTGCAATGCAGCATTCCCATCGGCGCCGTCCGAGCTGGGCGTACAGGTGCTGGCATCGTCTTCATCGCCGAGCAGAGCGACGGCATGGCTCGTGCCAGCCGTCACAGCCTGATTTGGCAACGGCACATAGCTCTGCTCCTCCGGCGAATAGTCCAGATCCAGCGAGCTGTTTGCATCGCCCAATTGTGGTGCATTGAATGAGTAGCTAGCATCGTTGTGGCTTAGGTTCTCCAGGCTGCTCAGCATATCATCCGAATCTTGGCCAGTGGCCGCCTGCTCTGTGCTTGATTTATAGTTGAGCGTTGCCGGCGAGTAGCGATGCTCAAAGCTAATATTCGCCTGCTGCAAGAAGTGCGGCTGATAAGGCGGCATTACCTTCAAGTAGCGCACTGGCTCCTGATCAAATCGAATGCGTGGTCGTGGTAAATTGATCTCCACAGGCGCCTCAACACACTGTGTCTCGAAACGCATTAGCCGTTTGGTGGTGGGCAGACATACGACGCGCTGCCGCATACGATCCAGGCTGGCGCCCAAATCGCGTCCACACTGTCCGTTCGAGTTGCCACCAAAGGCCTTGACAATGTGATCGGTGGTCATTACAAGTGTGAAATCAGCGCCGCAATCCACATACATGGGTCTCTCGATGCTGTCGATGGGTGATGGCTTGAGCACGGCACGCCGATCCTTATCTTCGGTGCCCAGTTGATGCTCAAGATTCTTGCCCCAAGTATACAATGTGCACGTCGACGATATCAATGCGAAATGAAACAGTCCGCTGGAGATCTTTAAATGGTAAATGTTGGCAATTAAATAATCACAGAAGCTAGTAGGTAGAGGGAGACTGACTTACCTGGAGTATTTGTCCAGCCACCTCGCTTGTGTCTACTAGATGTGGCTGCATATGTTCGGTCGGATCTGGCTCGCTGGAGAGCTGTGCAGCTGAGACTGATGCTGCCGCTGCTGCTGCTGCTGCTGGTGCTGTCGGCAGTGATTCTGTGTTCATACTCGTAATATTTTCGGTAGCATCCGATTGCACAGCTTCATCTTGTGTGGACTCTTTGGTTGTGTCTGCAGTGGGTTTGGGTACAGCGCCAGCAACAACCGCGGCATACGAAGTAGTTGGCTCCACCAACACGCTGTTATTACTGGTCGCTGGCAGCAGTGTTTCCTCCAGCCGCCTGGTCAGCATTTCACGCTGATGATTTTCCTCCAGCTTTTGCTTGGCGTTGGCACGTCGCTTAATTTGATTGGCCAGACGCAGTGCTTGTGGTGAGCTGCCCCAAGTGTACATGCGCTCCTCCTCATCTACAACTAGCTATAAATGCAAACGAATGAGTCAAATCTATAGGGCATTGTTATGATTTTGCACTTACATTTGTAAAAAATTTCGTGTGTATCAGTCTTAAACTGCAGTCACCAAAATCCAGGCGCAGCGGCAGACTCGACTTTCCCTCTGTCTGTGCCTGATCCGGCTCACCAATGCCCAGCTGGCCAAAATGATTGGAGCCGAACACATAAAGCTCGTTGCAACTGCGATTAGCCTCTGCGTAGTTGTTGCTGCTGCATGTTGCCTGACAAAGCACCAAACTGTGCGCATGACCAAGCGATATTTGTAAAATTTTCTATAAGTATTCAAAATACAATAATTTTTTTTAGTGAATTATTCAATATATATTAACTTGATACGCACCTTGTACTTAAAGAAACTGACTAGTGTTGGTGTTGCAAGGTTCTCGCAGTTACCATTGCCCAACTGACCATAGATGCCCCAACTATAAGAACACGATTCGATTATTTTCATATAAAATGATATTCCCATTTCAATCTTTCAACTCACCCCCACATATAGAGCTTGCCGTCTGCAACGGCTGCATTGTGATATTGACCCGCCTCCAGCATTGTTATATTCATGCCATCCAAAGCCGTCACGAGCATGGGTTGTAAAGCCATTTGCATGTGTTTTCCAACTCCCAGCTGACAAAGACTGTTGTTCCCCATCGCATACAGCTAGAGGAATGTTGCAAATTCAAATAACCACCTAGGGACAGTGCCACAAAGTACTTACGCCATTATTTGTCAGGATGAGAGTATGCTGACGTCCGCACTTGAGCGCGTGCACTACCAAATTAAGTTGTGCAAGCAGGTCCAATGATTTCACAGCATGTGCGGGCTCCGGTGGTTCTGTGAGATATATATAATAATGAACATAACGAAGAGAAATTGAATGGAGCACAGTATGAAAGCTCACCTGTTGATTTCTGGGCACTAAAGCAGCAGGGCACGCCGCTGGAACCCCAGAAATATGCGACACCATCTACCACACAGGCGCAATAAGCGCAACCAGCTGAGATTGGCTTGAAGCGTGATGATTCAATGGCAAACTAAAAATCACAAAATTATTTTTATAAGTTATTAGATAAGATTATTATTTGCTGATCTTCTGATCTGGCACTTGCCTGATTGTCCTCGTAGTTGATGCGAAAATTTGACAAAGCATTTACAATGGAATCGTGCTTGACGCGCTGAGACTCCATATGTATAAGCACGGCCAAATAGGTTTCGATTAGGCACTTGCAGAACTCAAATATATGTTCATTATTGTCATCATTGATTGAGCTGCCGCTGCTGTGCGAAATAATTGGACGAAGTGCAGGTGCAAACGGATTAAGCTGCATTGAAAGACGCTGAAAAATTCCAAACGTAACTTTGAATTTTCGATTAAAAAATGGGAATATATCAAATTGTTTACCTGCAGCACACAGGGCCTGATATGCTCCAGCTTTTCCTGTATGAACGTAAAATAGTCCATTGACACAAGAGGCAAATATGTGATGGTCTCCATAAATATGCATTCGCTAAGATTGTACAAACAGACATTGAGCTCATTGTACCAGCCAAATTCCTGGGCAACAACGCTGACCAATGCATTAAAGGTGTCCAGACAAACACCACGCACTTTCGCCAATATGATAGCTGCCGAAAAGAGTCCACTCTGACAGAGGACAATGCTCGTCATATTGGTATGGTATTTGGTATTGGTCACCAAAAAGTTCCTGAAAGTTAATCAAAAGATATGTTTATATACGAATGGTTATAGAAGGCAAATCAAATTAAACTTACCACAATGGCAAATAATTTTTATCGTTGACAGCCTTCTCGGCCAGCGTTATTAACAGCAAATTGGCCAAATGAAACTGTGATGAGGGTGACATTTGCAGTGCACTAATTGATTCGTCGACACCGTAGTGATAGTCGCTGCATGAGACTCCACTATTAACCACAACATCCAAATCTTTTACATTCATTGGCAAAATGTCGCGCACATCCTCCGAATGGCGATAGGTTATATCCGATTGGATGCTCTTCAGCAGAGGATGACACAAATAGCGCGATCGCAGCAAGTATGATGATTTCAGAGCCATAGCACTCAACTGCATCAGGGCATAGGTGTGTCCATACATGGCCAGCTTGAGAGCAGTTCGTATTGGCTTCACTCGTGCCGCATTGTATGTGATCAACGCCTGAGTAATCTTCTTGCGACGCAACAAATAATCTCCGGCAAACTCAATGCAGTGCTCATAGGAGAGATCGAACGTGTTGCAAAACTCCCGACACTGATTCCATTCGCTTATCAGCGCTGCGTCCAAAAACAGCTCAAATGGTTCTTTTCTGCGAAACCAAAAAAAAAGAAAGAAAAACAGACAAAATTGTTAAATTATTAATAACAAGATTTACAAAATACGCACTTCAGCTGTATGGTGTAGACATTTTTGTTGGTTATGACATAGCATGGATCATAGTTGATTTTGGGAAACTCTGCCTGCATAATCTCCATTTGGCGTAACGAAAACTCATTACTTATATCGGTTGTCTCATAGAACTGCACGTAGTCCATCGGTGTGTGTATGTCCTTGATCTCGAATGCCTTTGCCTTTTCCTCCTTGGTGAGTGTTTCGATATTGCTGTTGCCGCCGAAACAGCGCACTTGTGCCATCTGATGCAAATGAAGGACAGTCTCCTGCTCGAAGCGAAATAACGCTAACTGTGCCTGATGATTGAAGCGCTGCGTGCAAAAGTGTCATACACAATGAGTATCTACTTGGAAGTGGGTGGGGGGGTGGAGTTGTTTAACACTTACATCATCATCGGTACGCAATGAGGCCATGGCGCTGCTGATGACGCTTACCGCATTGATGGCATTGGTGGGCATTTCGCTTTGATCGATACTCGATGCGCTTGTGGTCGTTGCACTCGTCTCATCACTCTTGTGGCTAGTATTGCCCGCCTCCGTCTGCTCCAACTTCTCAGTGTCTGCATCTAAGCTCTCTTTCTCAGTGTTCGCCACTAGCGGCTCCTCCAGCGATGATACCGCTGTCGAACTGGCTGAATCGCTGCGACTATTTAGATCCACATATTGTATTCCATACAGAATGTTGGAGCTAATGAGTATTTCCACACAATGACTGGGTATTTTGTACAAAAACAAGGGCTTCAAATTAATATCGATGCTGTGCACCGTCAGGCTGCAACTGTTGCTGTGCAATGCGCTCAGCAGATAAGTGCTACGCAGGTTCTGTATGGTATAAAATGATCCGTTTGTATTGCCCAACGGCTCTGGCGTGACCGACGGCGAGTCCATTATAGCAAACGTGCCCATATTTGTCTCAGGCATAACTGCAAGTAAATAACAACAAATATTTTACAATATATCACTGATCTTAGCCGTAAAGGGATGTTTTCTATAGTAGTAGATATCGGATATAGTAGAGTCTATATCTTAATTCGTAAGTCTGATTGGGATTAAGGCGTCATTTGAAAGGATAAGTTTACAAAGAAACCGATAGCCAGACCGTCAGACTGATATGACAGTAATTATGCTGAGGCGCAGAGATCAATTCATATTTTGGATATTTGGTTATATAAAATGGGGGCAATACATACATTCATCAATCTTTTGCCGCTGATCCGACAAACGCATTTTGATGGCCTGCAGCTTCTTGGAGCCGAGGCTTTTGAGCGAAGCGAGGCGTGCACGTGTCGCCGGCAAGATGCCATCGAAGCTATTGACGGCCAGCTGCTGCTGCTGAAAACGGACTCCGGTGCTTTCGCTGTAGGATGGCGGCGATGGCGGCATTGGCGCATTGTTGGCATCACTGGGTGTCGGCGCACGTGGCGGTGGTTCCGAGGCTGCTGCCGACACAGTCGTGGCAAGTGAAACGGTTTGTGTGCTTGGCGCAATTTCATCACTGGCTGGTGGCGCAAAAACATCCTCCTCCAGCTGACTACTGTCCGAGGCCGGATCAGAGCTATTGCTTTGCCGTGCATCGTTCCCTGCTACGGTCTGATGCTTTGAGTGCACGGACATGACAATTTGCCAGGCGCCTTCGCGTGTGGTGGGTGAGCTATCGCCAGGATACACATACATGATGGCCTTCTGCTCCAGCAATAACTTGTATTGTTCCTTTAGCGACGATGTAATCTGCAGATAGATAGAGTACACATGATTTCAAAATAAGTGCACTTGTTTGTGGATAACTGGTGGGAGCTTACCAGCAACATGACTCCATCGAAGGTATTATCCTTGCAGATTGTCAATCGCACCACGGAACCATTCTGAATGGAAGTGCTGGCGATCATTGGGCAGTTGGGACTGAGACCCACAAAGCATATGGAGCCATCTGAGTAGCCGATGATGGCACGATTTAAGCCATTATACGTCTTCCACCAAACCACAGACAGCGGATACGGACACGTCTTGGAGGCCATAAATGAGGCAGCCATCACTTGACTGTTGCCCGTCGCATCGAAGGGAGCTGCTGGCTGTGGAGCGGACTGCTCGCCAACTGCTTCGACCGATGGACCATTGGCCAACATATGCTCGGGCACCTCCTGACCCAACGGCTCCTCCTCCAAATTGTCAGCCTCCGCCTTGTCAAGCTTAACATGCTGCAGTTGTTCCGCCAATTGTTCGACATGTTCTTGCTGTTCGTATGCTCTTTCGTTGCGTGCCGTCGAATGATTGGGACATTTCTTTGAATTGGGGCATTCGTGTGGACCCACAAACGGTATTATGTAGGATGTCACCTGTGTGGTGCTGTACAGCGAACAGGCGGCCAAACTGTAGGTTTTGTCGACCAGCGCCAGAGCGGGCACAATATGCAGTGTGTTGTCGAAACCTGTTGATATATATATATATATATACACATAGGTTGGGGTCCGAGTATGGTATGGTAAAGAAACAAACTGGGTTCAGTAACACTTGCCCCGCCCCCCTCCCAATTGCTGCTCAAAAGCAGCTGAATCAAAACAAAATAAGCTACAGAAAATCAATAATGTTAATCGCGCACACACACACAAACACCTACACATACACGCCGCACACGCGACAGCACTCAGCAGCAGCATCAAAGTAATTTAAGGCTTTACTATGTTGCTACCCAATCCCCAATGCCCCATCCACAAGCTTAACTCCCACGTACTGTCCAATAATGTACTTACAGAGGACTAGCAGCCAAATGCCAGCAGGATCGAAGCAGACGTCGTGAATGACACGATTGGTGCGCCGGAACCAGGTGATCATCTTGAGCACCTCCTGGCCGCCGCCAGCGCTGATGTAGCGCAGCACAATCTCATTTTCCTCGCTGACCAGGCACAGGAATTGCTTTTCATCGAAAGGTGTGACGGTGACGGCGGATAGCTTACAGCTGAAGTTCGTAATCAGCGGACGAAGCTCAAAAATTTGCAAATCTTTGAGCTCGGCATGCACATGCACCGCCATCACTTAAGTGTTTTTGCACGCTGGTGGCTGCTCGGACCTGCTTGTAGCGTTTCTTTTTTGTTGCACAAATCAAATTTTAATTTTTTTTACAATTGCCATGTTTCCATGGCAAACATTTTGTTATCGCATTTACAAAACTATCGGACATATGCGATAAACAGTGAAAGCATTTACTATCGAAGTTTTTGTTATTAAAAAACTTATCATTCATTTAAAACAAAAATGTATTCTAAGCTGATTTTGCTGCTAAAATAAAGACATGTGATAAATGTCCACACTAAAATTCTAAGTCTTTTTTTTGTTATAAATCTTTGAATTGCCATTCATATATATATAGTTGCGGTGATAATAAAACTAAACAGATATGTAGTATGGATTTTTAAATTCTTATGGAATGAATTGAAAGAAAGTTATAATTTGCTTAAAGCAAAAAATTCTTTCAAAACAGTGTTGAGAAATAAGAACATTTTATCAAAAGTTTTGACAACTCGGAACTATCGCTACTTTGTAATGCAGCCCTACAATCAAAAATAACGGCGCGCGGAAAAATCTGGCGTCGCTTCATTTTACAGATCTTCAATTGATAATAGGAAATTAAAAGAAAATAAAAATTTGTTATGGAATCGCGTTTGCCAAAGCCTACGGGTCTGAAAAGGCCCACGCCAGCAATAAAGCCAATTTTACCAACTGATCGAATAAAGGCGTCCACCAACAGCATCAGTGCAAATACAACAATGCAGCCTCTTTCCAGAGACTTGCAGAACATTCCGCAAGCAATGAGGCGCTTTGGAGGTAAGTTTTTAATGCAAAATGCACGCACTGATTGCTGATTTTGAGTATGATTAACAACCTGTTTGTATATAAAGCACGCGCCGCATCTCCTGAGGCATCGAGTGCAATACAGAATCGAGTGAAATTGCGACGCAGTCGCTCGGTGAATGACATTAACGAATTACGGCGAAATAATAAGCGCCCAGGCGCACCCAAAATGCCAAGCATACCATGCAAATTCCAGCGATTTGGCAATAGTAGCACAACATCAAGTACGAGTATGACCGCGTCAGCAACAGCATCAGTTGCAGTTACGCGTGTCGCAACTGTGCCAGTCAAACGTCCCCCTCCAGGAACTACAACAACAACAGCGCGTACATTGCTGCGTTCGACTTCGACACAGTCGACCAAACCTAAAGCAGGCGCGGGTGCGGGCGCAGGCGCAACCGGGAGCAGTTCGACAGTTGCTGCACCAAAGCGCATTGCTCCCTACGATTTTAAGGCGCGCTTTCACGATTTGCTGGACAAGCACAAAGTGCTAAAGGCGAAAAATGAGAAGCTACTGGACGACATGACCGACCTGGAATCGCTACCCTCGCAACTGGAAGAAACGCAGGATAAACTCATTGAGACCCAGACAACGCTGAAGAACACACTGACCCATAAGGAGTGCCTGCAGCGTCAGGTCAATCAGCAAACCAGTAAAATTGAGACAATTACTGGCACACTAGGTCGCATCAATTGTGAACTAGATCTGCTAAAGACCACACATCAGGTAAGTCCAATCGGTTAGCTCAATATTAATTCCGTTAACCAATGCAAATCAATAATGCAGAAAATGAAAAGCCAACATGATTCGCTTTCCGCGGAGGTATTGGAGCAGCGCGATCAGATTGAAATGCTCATCCGCGAGAAAGAGCAGCTAACTGCCGAGAGAGACATATACAAGGAGCAGCTCTTCCAATCGAACATGGACCGAAAGGAGTTGCACAACACCGTCATGGATTTGCGTGGCAATATACGCGTCTTCTGCCGTGTTCGTCCGCCACTGGATTATGAGTTGTCTCGATTATCCTGCACTTGGACGTATTACGACGAGGCTACAGTGGAGTTGCAGAGCTTGGATAGTCAGGCTAAGAACAAGATGGGTCAGCAGATATTTACCTTCGATCAGGTGTTCCATCCAAATTCGCTGCAAGAGGATATTTTCGCATCAGTTGCACCATTAATTCAATCCGCTTTAGATGGGTACAACATATGCATATTTGCCTACGGCCAGACGGGCAGCGGCAAGACATACACGATGGACGGTGTGCCAGATAATGTGGGCGTTATTCCACGTACTGTCGATCTACTGTTTGAATCGATCTCAACCTATCGTAAAACGGGCTGGAAATATGAGATTAAGGCGACATTTTTGGAAATCTACAATGAGGTACTTTACGATCTGCTGAGCAACGAACAAAAGGAGATGGAAATTCGTATGGCCAAAGGTGCGAACAAGAATGACATCTATGTGTCCAATATAACTGAGGAAACTGTCACGGATCCCAATAATTTGCGCCGGCTCATGGACTTGGCCAAAGCGAATCGTGCCACGGCATCCACAGCGGGCAATGAGCGTTCGTCACGTTCGCATGCGGTCACCAAGCTGGAGCTTATCGGCTACCATGCAGAGAAGGACGAGATGTCGGTGGGCTCCATCAATCTGGTCGATTTGGCTGGCTCAGAGTCGCCAAAGACCAGCGTCCGGATGACCGAAACCAAAAACATAAATCGTTCCCTCTCGGAGCTAACAAATGTTATATTGGCACTGCTTCAAAAGCAGGATCATATACCATATCGTAACTCAAAGTTGACACATTTGTTGATGCCATCGCTTGGCGGCAATTCCAAGACACTTATGTTCATCAATGTGTCACCGTTTCAAGACTGTTTTCACGAATCGGTCAAATCACTGCGCTTTGCCGCATCCGTCAATTCGTGCAAAATGGCCAAGGCCAAGCGGAATCGTTACTTGAACAATGCCTCAGCGTCCAGCAACACCAGTTGCTAAAATTAGCCACTGAACAATTCACATTCACGTTTTTAATGATGTCTGCCGACAGTTTTAACATGTATATTCCCTTTTTATAAATTCACAATACGCACCTAAATTTTTTGTGTTATCACGTAAATTATAAATGTAAACTAATAAACTTTGAACAAATACGGATTGGATTTTTTTTAGTTTTTACACGGTGCCCACTGCTTGACGCACTTCAATCGGAATCTTCTCCACCAGCTCTGTGTGATTATCTCCTGAGCTGGCGAGAACTCCCCGGCGATTCACATGTTCCACATCCGCATTGTATTCATAGTGTTCGCCATTGATATTGGTTAGGGTGCCGCCGTTTGCTTCCAGCACCGCCTCCGGTGCACAGGTGTCCCACTTTTTGCAGCCTGGCGTGGCAAATACATAGGCATGTGCCTTGCCCTCCAGCAGCTGGAGCACCTTGAAGCCTGCGCCGCCCACCTTAAGTACTTTACTGGCATTGAACACATCGACAGCCCTCTGATGCAGCGCATTGGAATGTGAGCGTGTGGTAGTGATGATGAATTCACCAGCTGGCGGCTTCACACTTGTAAATCCTCCAGTGCCCAGACCCTTAAGGCCCCAAATTGTGCGCCCGAGCTCACCGCTGGATTGCTTATAAAATGGCTGATGAATAATGCCACCAACAGCCGAGTTCTTTATGGCGATACCAATGAGAACAGTGACATGTTCCACATGGCCTACATGGAATTGGTGATTAGTATTAATTTGTTTGAATGGGTCAATCACCCAAATGGTGCGTACCTTGTGTGTATTCGGCAGTGCCGTCTAAGGGATCCACCCAAATCACAAAATCTTCGGGCTGTGCATGTTGCCAGTCAGTTGGGCAGTTTTGTTTCAGGAATGCTTCGTCCAGTTCACCGACCAACCAATCAGCACACACATTCAAATCGGAGCCACCCTCCTCGCCAATGATTTGAATGCTGGGGAACTTCTTCGCTAACGAGGCAATGATGCAACGTTGGGCAGAACGATCTGCCTCCGTTTGTGGATCATTCATGCCTTTGTCCACAATGCCGAGATCTCCCTGTTTCAGAACGTCGCGTATGATACCGCCGGCGCGTTTCGCCGTGTTGATGGACAATGCCATGATGCGCATAATTAGTGGAGTGCTGCTGGCCATTTTATAGTCTTGACTCTTTCTAGATGTGTGGAATGGATAGTTTTTCTATTCTACTTTCTATTCACTTTGCTTTCGTTGAGAGAACACAAACCAGCTGTGGCCATCGCGGTTAAGCTAAGTACGCAGCTCAATGTCTTTGCCAGCAAAATTATATAAGCAAAATTATAGCTAGCTTATAATAATGGATACATCGGGTTTCCAGATAAGATAAATATTTGTCAATTTTTATCACCTCTAAACTTAAAGAGTTACAATTTTCGCATAAAAACTTACTGCATTTATTGTCGACAATTTGGTTTTATGATCAGCATACTGTTCGCCAGCTCGCCTGGCCATATGGACCGAGGTCTGGCAACGCTGCGGCGCATGCAACCTTTGGACCATTCTCTTTAAGTTAGACAATATACGCTGCTGGGTCGGTCTAGAAGTAAATCTTACGATTAATAAAAAATTATAAATATTTTTATATTATTGATTTTTCTCAAATTAGAATATGGCTCGTGTTTTGGTTGGAGTAAAGCGTGTTATCGACTATGCCGTCAAGGTGAGCATATCACAAATATAGAGAAAGAATGAAGAATTGCCTGTTGCTTCCTCTTATCACTTGTTGAGCTTCGGTTTGCGTAATACTTATTATTTTTGTTTTATTACCAATTAAGTAATTTCTTATGTTGTTCCGTTAATTTAGGTGCGCGTTAAGCCCGAGAAAAATGGTGTTGTCACCCAGGGCGTGAAACACTCAATGAATCCCTTTGACGAGATTGCCGTCGAGGAGGCCGTCAAGTTGAAGGAGAAGAAACTGGCCACCGAGGTCATTGCAGTGTCCGTGGGTCCCACTCAATCGCAGGAGGTTATACGTACTGCCCTGGCCATGGGTGCAGATCGCGGTGTTCACGTTGAGGTGTCGGCGGCCGAATACGAGCTGCTGCAGCCGTTACATGTGTCCAAAATACTTGCCAAGCTGGCACTTGATGAGAAGGCAGATCTGGTGATACTGGGCAAACAGGCGATCGATGATGATGCCAACCAGACAGCTCAAATGACAGCCGCTGTGCTCGACTGGCCACAGGGCACCTTCTGCAACAAGATAGAGAAGACGGATGCGGGTTTGACCATTGTCCGTGAAGTCGATGGCGGCCTGGAGACGATCAAAACCAAAACACCAGCGGTTCTGAGCGCTGACTTACGCTTGAATACGCCGCGTTATGCAACATTGCCTAACATCATGAAGGCGAAGAAGAAGCCATTGAAGAAGGTGACTCCCAAAGATTTGGGCGTTGATACAACGCCACGCATTGAAATTGTCTCCGTTGAGGATCCGCCCGTGCGCCAAGCTGGCGCTGCTGTCGCCGACGTAGATGCTCTCGTTGCCAAGCTAAAAGCTGGCGGTCACGTCTAAGACCTCAAATCAAATTGTGTAAGCGAAATTCTACGTTATGCAGTTGAAATAATAAGAAATGTGCATTTATCTAGCCTAGATTAATTGCTTATTTGATCGGCGAGTTTTCCCCCTAGCACTTTAAGTCAAATTAATTGTCTTATTTTGGTATCTGTCGTGTCCAGCCTTAACGAATAAATTGAAGTGATTGAAGTAAGCACGAGTCTGCCACAAGGTCAGCCATTGAACGATTCCGTCAATTCCTTTTCAGCAATCGTCACTCAACTTGACGCACCAAAACTCAGCGCCTCTAATTAAGCTACTTTTTTGTGTTCTTGCTCCAACTTATATGGAATGAGCTAGTCAGAAGAGATTAGAGGTCAGATGAATGGCTTTCAGTTTCACACTTTATTTTCATCAAATCAAACTAAGATTTCCTAAAATTATTTCGAGTAAATACAATTGATGATCGACCGATTTTACGAACTTTGATCAATTGTTTTTGAACATTCTCTTCGTTGTTTTCTGTTTTCTTTTTTTTTAATCCTCTTCGTTTTTTATAATTTGAATATTTAAAATCGTAAATTTTCGAGCGATCTATACACACATATATAATGTGTGTAATTTATATATAAATATATAGAAAAATATTATGATTTGCTGTTAAAACATATAGAGCCGATACAAAAGTAATCTAATATATATGGTTATTATGGACAATTGGACGCTTAATAGATATACAGACATGGCAGGAGTGGGCTATTTCAATGGAATAGTTTACAAAATTATGTAATATTAGTATTTGTGAGAATTCGCACTGTGTTCTTCATTCATGTTTTGGCTGTCGCATGTCTAACATTTTGATATATATAATCACACTACCCGCAGCTGCACCAGCACATAATGAGTTAGTCAGCTCACGTAGCTACTAATCTCCAGGTGAATCAGTTACGTCCAGCAGCCGGAACCTTTCCCTTATCGCTGAAGAGCAATATGCGTGTCAGCATTGTGGTAATGCAAGGTATTTGCTTCTGCTGATGCATCTCAGGTGTGTCCGGAGTGCAGGACTCAAAGTCGACGGCGACACGCTGGCAAACGAAAGTGAGTAGGGTGAGCATGTCCAGACGTTTGCCATTGGCGGCCAACTCGGCGCAGAGGCTCTGCATGAACCAACTGCCACGGGTGGTGTTGCGCCACGAGTAGAAGCCCGGTATGGTCGAGTAGGCAATGAGGAAATCCGCATGGATGGGTATCTTATAGCTCATTGTGGAGTCGCCATCGGTTTCGGTGCGACCACGCTCCATTGTGACGCCCGTATCCAAGCGATCGCCCTGGCAAGCCTGTATGAAGAAGAGCTTGGGTTTGCCCGCCAGCGAGGGACAATGATTGGCCGTAAAGTGACTCCAAATATTGTCCAGCTTATACTGCGTATCCTTCGCATAGATGTAGCCCATTTCGCCGTGCGAGAGAATGGCCACCAGAATGCAGTCGTTATCATCGTGTTTCTGTGCTGCCGCATACTTCACGGTACTTAAGATCTCCTGATAACGATAGTCCTTATACGTGGTGACATCGAAGTCCAGCTGCTTTAGCACGCGCGTGAGATTCTCACAGTCCACGTTGGTGCCAGCGCGGGACTTCAGTGTCGGCACCTCGAAGTGCTCATGATTGAAAATGAGTGCCATGCCTCGATGCTTGTGCCTCATGTTGTACTCGGCTGCATGCCGGTCGGTAACCATTTTGGCCACATTCTTCTGATAGTTGGATGAGGTGCTGTATCCGTTCAAGGCCAGCTGGCCGATGGCCCCAGTGCCATAGGTGCTTTTGTGATACGTCGAGGTCGATGCACTTGTGGTGGTGGTGGTGCTGCTGCTGCCAGTGCCCAACGATCCAAAAGCATCGGTTGTGTCGTCCGTATTGGTGGCCACTTCGACTCTAATCCCCACCTGATCAACGGACTTGAGATCGTTGTTGCTGCTGCTGTTGTTGTTGGCCGCCATTGTGAAATTTTTGATGAGTCACACAAGGCGTTTGATAATGTCCAGGCAAATGGGCAAATGGAAAAATACGAAAATTCTTCACTTATTTAATTTGAGTTCACAAGTTTGTTAAAAATGCGTACGTTGCGAGATCTCGTTGCGATAACAAAGGAAAGCGACGTAAAACTGCAGTGCAGTTGCGTTGTTGCAGTTTGCTAGTTTTCTCTCTTTGTTTGTATTATGTTATGGTTTTTGCAAGCAACAACTTAACATCGTGCTGCACTGTTATTAACAGCCTGCAGTATTTTTATTTACCGGTAAACTGCAGTTGACAACTTTACACTCTAAAAACATTAACATATCGTGGTATACTACGAAAAAGTGTTTGATTCGACGACCAGGTTTTTGGACACGTCGAACGGCGCCGGTATTAAGATTGAAGATATGCAAATTTTAAATAGGTTCATACTAGATGCTTTACAGAGTACAGCTATTTTTTTGTGGTTATGTTAATGTTCTGAGCAGAGATGCGCAGGTAAAGGAAGTACCGTGACTGGTTAACCGTGACTGGGTAACAGTTCGAAGTCCCAGATAAATACAGATAATATACATAATGGTAAATATAAAATATATATGTGTTTTTGTTTATTGTTCACAGTTTGAGGAATGAATATATATACTATATAGTAAAATATTATGTAGTATATATATATATAAAATACTATATAGTAAAATATTATGTAGTATATATATATATAAAATACTATATAGTAAAATATTAAGTATAGCCGATTTTGTTCGTTATTCCAGAGTTAACTGTAGCTGTGAAGTGGGGCAGCTAAATTAATTGTTTATCACAAAATAGACTTTGAAATTTATGTGGCAGCAGGCGGTCATTTCAAATGCATCACTGTTGATATTATTTGGTAGTTGTAACGAGTTAGAAACAGACTTTGGATGCTTGAGTATTATTTGACTTTAAAAATCTTGGTTTGGCTGTCGCATGGCTAACGTTTCTATATATCACAATGCTAATGAGTTAGTCAGTCCACGCAGCAACTAATCCCCAAGACAATCAGTTAGCTGCAGCTACAGGGGTCTTTTTCTTATCGTTGAACAGCAATATGCGCGTTAGCATTGTGTTAATGCAAGGTGTTTGCTTCTTCTGATCGAATTCAGGTTCCTTCGAATTGTTGGACTCAAAGTCATGGGCGACACGCTGGCAAACTCTGGTGAGCAAGGTGAGTATGTCCAGACGTTTGCCATTGGAAGCCAGTTGCTCGCAGAGGCTCTGTATGAACCAACTGCCCTTCTCTTTGTTCCGCCACGAGTAGAAGCCCGGTACGGTCGAGTAGGCAATGAGGAAGTCCGCATGATTGGGTATCTTATAGCTCATTTTGGAGTCGCCATCGGTTTCGATACGCTTCATCTGCATTTTGACTCCTGCATCCAAGCGATCACCCATACAGGCCTGTATGAAGAAGAGCTTCGGCTTTGTAGCCAGCGAAGGACAATTTTCGGCTGTGAAGCAAGTCCAAACTTCGTCCAGCTTATATATCTCATCCCTCGCATGGATGTAGCCCATTCCGCCGTGGGAGAGAATGGCCACCAGAATGCAGTCGTTATCATCGTGTTTCTGTGCTGCCGCATACTTCACGGTACTTAAGATCTCCTCATAACGATAGTCCTTATACGTGGTGACATCGAAGTCCAGCTGCTCCAGCACATGCGTCAGTTTTGCACAGTCCAGGTTGGTGCCAGTACGGGCCGCCTGCAAGTTATTATCGAAGTGCTCGTGATTGAAAATGAGTGCCATGCCTCGATGTTTGTGCGTCATATTGTACTGGGATGCAAATCGGTTGGTGGTTATTTTGGTCACATAGTCAGGTCTGGTGCTGGGTGTGTTTAAGGCATTGTGATGTGTAACGAGCGATCCGAGAGCATCGGTTGTGTCGCCCATGTTTGTGTCTTCGATTCTAGTCCCAACCTGATCGGTGGACTCGATATCTTTTTTATTGCTTCAGTTGTTTTTGGCCTCAATTGTAAAATTGAACTGCGTGGTTTTTGATGCGAAACAGAAGAAAAATGTTAAACTTCTTATCTTTTTGTGGTTAGCAAAATTTTAATAGTTCGCACTTTGCGAGAACTAGTGGTGGACGAAACATCGATGTAACATCGATAACTCAATGTTTTTAAAATTATTTTAAGCTAATTTCTGATCACTTAAAACAATTCGCGGGAAAAATAAAGTTGGAATATTCCAATGATATATGCGTTTCGAACTGAAAAAAATTGAACTTTCTTGACTCCAACGGACAATCTGAAAACAGGCTTCAAACTGTTAGAATATTGAAAGGTAATTCTATTCAGATACTATTTTTTATGATGTGCTTGCGCACGTGTGTCAAACTCTCTCAGTCCACGGGGATTCAGTGTGGACTCCACGAAGTGCTCGTGATTAAAAATAAGCCTCATGCTCGTGCTGCAAATGCGAAAAACTCTTCATTGTTCTTTTTTTATTTACAAAAGTTTTGTTAATTGGAAAGTTGCGAGAACCAGTTGTTGTCACAAGGGAAAGCGGCAGTCACAACAAATCATTGGGATCATGCTACTATATCAAACAGCTTTCCGAGAAATAATCAGTCGGATTATAACCAAATTTAGATGACAGCAATTTGACTCTTGCCTCCAATGATATGAAATTTTCGGTGTCCCGATAGATAGTATACAAATGCAAATATTTGTTGTATTTACTAACTATATTTTATGATCCAATGAAGCAAGACACCCAGAATAGCTGGACAAAAATCCGGCAAATTTGATATTGAGTTACTGATTAGTTTGTTGGAAGGCGAACTCTTTTAATATTACTTGTGATAGTCATATATTGAAGCATAAAGTATAGCATTGTTGTCAAAATGGGTTATTCGTAATCAAATGTCAAGCCACTCCCCCGGAAATGTTCGTCGCACCAGGAATCAAATCGTGTTGATATTTCATCGGTCATGTAATCCCGCCAGTCGCCAATTTTGCCCTTGCGTATAAATTTGATGTCCTGCTGGGGCAGATGCTTCTCCAGATTGATGGCTTTATTGCTTTGCATACTGTCAAATCGCAAATGCTCACAAATGCGTTGCAATTGGGCATTGTCAAGTTGTGTGGAGACGTTCAGGAACTTGGCACAGTGCTTAACCACAGCGGGCAAATCGCGGATCATGTCCTCGTATTTGATGAACAAGACGTTGTCATCGAAGCTGCGCTTCCAGAACGGCAGCACATGCCGCCAGTAGGAACCGATGGGTGTGTGACCGTCCAAAAACAGTTCCACAAATTGCTCAAAGTCACCATTGATGCCATGCAGCAGTTTGCAATAATGATAATAAGACACGCACACATCTTTAGGATTGCGAGCTGTGTACACAATCTTGGGCTTGACGGTTTCAAATTGCTCGGGAAGCAGCTGCCAGGATAGATGGGATCGGGCATAGCGTGGACGTGGCAAATTGCGCACCTGCTCAACTGTACTTCCATAAGAATCACTGTGAAATGCCAAATATCTATTTAGATTAAATCATAAGAAAAATATTGAACTTTTTACGTACGCCACCCACTGATGATGATCGGTGCTAAATAGCGCGGACAGCTCAATCAATGGCGAACGTATACGTAGATCCTGCTTGGCAGCTTCATAGTCCAACTGATTGCCCAGCAGCCAGACCATCTCTTGGGCCCATGTCGAGCCGGTGCGTGGATACGACACCATCCACACATCGTCCTCGTAGACGGGCAGACTGCGGATTGATTCACCTACCTCGATATATTTGCGTGGAATGATCAGATGACCGGGCAACACTTCCACAAAGCAATTCTGCGCAGGAAATACGGCATTTGTGCGACGCACAATATCCGCATCCAGTTCTCGATAGATGAGCTGCATGGCAATTGGAGTTGCTACCGTTGGCCTTCAATAGCTGCAGTCTACTGACTTCCAACACCAAACTTCAAGTGAAAACTGAGCCCAAACGTGCGGTGAAAGTGACGTCGACGGGAATCCATCTAAGAGTTCCGCAACTTGAATGGGCTTGTGCCAAAACCGGCTCAATGCAATCTTTGTTTTTGTAAAGTGCATTAAATATCTACCCTACCAACGAAACAAGTAAGAATGCTGTAGTCGAGTGGGCTCGACTACCATATACCCTGTTAAATATATTATAGTCTTATTGTCATATTTCCTTTTAAAAAGTTTTCCACCCAAATGTGAGCATGCTTGGAAGTGCACTCATTTCTTATGGCTGGCACTGCCACTGAAAAGTAAAATAAAAACAAAGGCAGCGCAGCGCCCGAGCTAACCCGAACTGACTGTCGACAAACTGAAAAACGGGTGCATATACAGTATGTTAAGAAAGTGTTTGGACACGGGAAAAATTCATATCTCATTTCTCATTTGTTTTGCACAAGTATTGAATTTTATTTATATTCTTGATGTTGTCTGCTTAGAGGTATTATTTATAGGCCTCTGCCTTTAAAATTTTTGGGATTTTTAGATATCGGAAATCAAAATATAAATATATATTCGAGTAATGGAGACAGTTATCGATAAAATGTAGTAAATTATATTCCTATATGGTACAGTTCTTAGTGTCCGAGACGCACAGACGGACATGGCTATATCGACTCAGCTATTGAACCTGATCACAAATGTATACCTTCTAATAATGCAGATTCTTTTTTCAGCCGCATAAAACCATTATAGCCATTTTACCCATTTTCAATGGGTTCAGTGTATAAAAAGAGTGCTGTATTTTCCCAAAACTTTCCTCACTCAAACTGTAAAGTTTTGCTCAGTTGGCTTTATTTACGTCCAAGCGGAATAATTTACAATTATTATCTTCATATCTTCATTGTACACAACCGGCAAATCGACGTTAGCAAAGCGTAAAGTTGATTGTTTTGGTGGAAACAGAGAGGTGAAAATTGCTTGAAAAAGATGATAGTAAATTGCAGACCCTTACAGACAATAATTAGTTTGAGTACCAACCAATCCGAATTTATAACGACCCATTTTAAAAGCAAAAAGTATGTAAAGCCTCACATCGTTGTATCATGAAGTGCACATATGGGAAGGATTAGGTAAGAGTTGTATTATTAACTATCAATACGGAAAGGATTATATTATAACTTTGTCAAAACGAAATCGATTTTCGAATGAATTTCCTTGGTTGTAAGGTTGTCGCTGGATGAATCCTATATTTAAGCCTATAACGTAATTATTCATATATTATTCACAAGTTCCTTGGACTTATAAATAGGACATGCAATTGTAATCACAATCGATTCCAAAAGAAACGAATTCAAAATTAGGTTAGATTAGGCAAAGCGTTCTCTCTCTCTGGTTAATAAATACTTTTGAATTTTATTAGAGAAAGTTGTTTGATTTAATGAAGTTTCCTTTTAAATCACTCAATTGCTGAAATTATCAATTAAATTAAAATTTATTGCGATCCGTAATACTATGTACACATGAAATCATTAAGTCAATTACAACTAATTCGTCCTAAGAAGCACTCTTAACAGTCCTGTTGGCAGTATCAGTTTAACTACAATTCGTTGTGTACGTATTCCGTGGTCACCTTGGCCTCGCCCTCATGGAACCCAATGCAGTCCACTGGATATTTCTCCTGTTTTCAATGAATTTCGAAAGAAAAGTAACGGTTACAATTCGAATGTTGCTGGTTAAGCGGATGTGAATGTGACTGTGATTGTGGACTCACCTCGCAATTATATGGCGCATTGATTACACCGAATAGCGTCCAGAATGGTGTACCGGTTTCTGTGCTAATGAAGATCGCTGCACCCATGCTGCCGATCTTAACAATTTTCGGACTAACACCGGCAATGAGACCGGCAGCCGAAGAGTTAGTTGATATTTTCTTGGACTGTTGCTGCTCTTGTTGTTGCTTTTGCTGCTCCAATGCAGCTGCATTTAGCTGGCAGAGCACATAGCGATCACATTGCGGCGACTTCGAGATGTATCTGTAGGCGCGATGGACTTTTAGCACCGGTTCGATAACCTGTTGGATGTTCAATGTTGAATGTTGAATGTTTGTTTGTTGTTTGTCGATTTGTATTGTGGGTTGTTTGGTTGGTTCGTTGGTTGTTGGGGATGGATGCGTGCGCCATGGAAAACAAAAGAGAAAATTGTAGCGTAATTAATTTAATTTGTGCTATCTGTTGGTTTAGTTTAGTTTTTTTTTTGTTTTTGTTTTTGCTTTAGTTGTAGAGCAGCAAGTGGCGTGTTAATTGCTTAGGAATACAATTCTGTTAGCATGCTTACCTCCAGGTTGAGCGTGTCCGTTAATCTATCACTGATCTCGGTGGCATTGAACTGCAGCAGACCACGTGCTTGGCCCAGTTTCAGCAGCTCCTTGGCATAGCCGACGGCTGGCTTCACATATTGTCGCGAGTCGATTTTCACATTCAAATGATGCTTGGCCACATGGTTCAATAGGTTGGATATTGTTTCGCTGGGGCGTGCCGGATCGAAATAGGTTTGCTTGGGATAACCTTGAGACTTTAATAGGCCATTAAACATGATTTGCGCCGTCTGGAAATATCTGTGGAAAGTGGAATAAACAGAAGAATTTAACAATTGAGTTGATGAGTTGTTGTTTGTTGGCCATAATGACGCAGCATTGTCAAGTGAAAGGGCCGCTAGAAAGTGGAAGTTATTTGTTGTTGTTGTCTAATAATGATGAGGCGTACAAGATGCGAAAAATTCGAAAAATGTATATATGAATTTATTTATGTATGCATTTATATATTGATGTTGGTTTGCTGGCTTGACCCAAATAGCCCAAACATTCGACTTGTACTTTGCCTTCGGCACACTTCCTGATCAAACCGGTTCTCCCAACTACATTCTTACATCGCATTCACAATGAACCGTTCTGCTTGGCCGTACCATGTTTTTGTTTATTTGTATGTTTTAATGATGCCATCAACTTTGTATCTAAAGCACACACACACACACACAGCACACACAAAGCTAAAGCCAAATTCAAAGCCCAAAAACCTGAACCCAGGAATTGAAGTTGGATTTTTATTTTTTAACTTCTTGTTGACCAGGCAGATTAACAGACATGTTCTAAAAGCGTCAGCACCAAAAGTGTGTCAAAAGGTAAGCAGCGCAAGAGAGCTTCAAACATGTTCGATGCCAAACAGGTTGCAGTAGTTAACGGTAACTCAACAGCAACCACAATAAGTGGCAGCTGTTCGAGCCAATGTTGCTCGCATTTGTATTGCATTTAGACGTAACGCTCAGAATCCGAATCGTATCACAGCCAGGTGCTAAACAGCCGTAAACCGTTAAGAAAGCACAACGTGATTCACAATTCACGACTTTGCCACAACATGTCTAAGAATTTCAATAGATGTAAAAAGCTGCGACACACACTCACCTTAGATAATTTTCGGGATTGGCTAAATAGCTGGTCCAATCAGCCAAATATAATGTGGCCGACTTGATCCAGCGACGACGGAAGGATTGATTGTTCAGAGACTCGAATAGCTTGTCATAATCCACTTTACCATCGCGACCCTTGAAGCCCTATAAAATGACAAATATATCAAAGTTAAGTGAATCGATTAATTATTTCAATTGAAACTTTAAATCATTTTATGAATTTTTTTTTTAGGTTTTCATAAGTTTTTTGGCAAATAATTCGTAGTATTTACCTTCATTATTTTATTAACGCCTGACTTTTCATACAGTGCATCGGCTAGTTCCGAGTTGGAGAAGTGATCCCACATCACATGAATATGCTCCAGGAAGGGTGGCAACACCCAGGCATGATTCTTGTGTTTCTCCTGAGTAATCTGACCCTCGGGACCGGCAAATGAGCTGACTGCCTGCATTATCAGCGGTAACAGGTTCATGAAACCATTTTCCGCCTCCGGCTCCTCGGGCGAGGATCTCTTCTGTTGATGATGATGATGGCTCTGTGTGGCCGGGGCTTCGCCACCGCCTTGGGTGTTCATGAAGGCGGATGCTACTTGTAGAATTGTGTCTAGGCCAATGCCAGATTCGGCGCCGCCGCCGTTGCCGTTGCTACGTTTCTGTGCAGTGCCTGAATCCTCGTCATCGCCTTGTGTGAACATTTCCAGGACATTGCTAATGATGGATGGATCGAAGCCACCGCCACCACCATTGCCGCCGCGTGCATTGTTGGCCAACAGACTGCCCAGGCTGGCAAGGATTTGCATGGCACCACCGCCGCCGGCGCCGCCGCCAGCAGCGCCTTTTCCATTCGCCTGCATAAAGCTGCCAATGAGGGAGGCGACACCTGCCAGTCCAGCAGCACCACCGCCACCGCCGCCGCCAGCAGCAGCAGCACCACCGCCACCGCCATTCTGATTGGACAAAGCCTCCTGTATGAACATGGAGGCCATGTCCAGCAGCGGATTGGACTCATCCTCGCTGGCCAAATGGCCATAGGGCTGGACGCAGAGCAGCGCCAGCAGAAACACCGCTCGTTTCATGTACATTTTTGGGCAGGAACTTTCACAATCACACACTTGAGATACTTTTTTTTTCTTATATTTTGTTTTTAGCTTGCTTGCTTTGCTATTATTGCCTTTTTTGCTGGGCCAATTAAGCAACGCAGCGACGAAAACGGATACGATGACGACGACAGCGACAACAACAACAACAGAAGTAACAACAAAAGTAACGCGAACGACGCTTCACTGCGCAAAATAAAAACCGCTTGAAAATTGCAAGGCAAAGCGGCAAAATGCGCTGCTGTTCTTTTAACAGAGTGGGATATAAAATAAAGCCGTAGCGCAGCGTGTAAGGCACAGCCAGCTCAGCCGAAAACTTTCTTTCTTCTGTGGCTCGGAGACAGTTTGTAACACTTCTTAAGTCGCCCGTCTGTGAGCCCGACCAACATGTTGCAACGATTTGTGTGTTTGCTCAGCTGTGATCGCTTTTTTTGCGCTCCTCTTTCTCTCTCTCCTTCTCTCTCTCCATCTTTCTTTTGCGCACTCTCTCTCCATCTTGTCATTCTTTACGTCTGCACTTTGCGGGATGGCCACGTCAGTTTGCTGCCCGCATACAAATTTAATGTAAAATATGTACCTGAATCTACTACTATGTGAATGTGTGTGTGTGTGTGTAAGTGTATTCATGAGAAATGCTTTTGCGCTGTTCTATGGCACTGTTGTAGGATTACATTTTGTTTATATTTTCTACCCACTTTCTTTTTAACGCACACACTCATGTTGTGTGTAGCTTTGAAAAAACTCTTGGGGGCATGGCGTGGTCAAAGTCAATGTTTTCCATCATCTTCAGCTTCATTGGTTCTTTGTGCATGAATACAAACATAATCACGCAGAAAGTTATTATATTACGACAATACTTACAAGTCTAAATAAATATAAATAAAAGACTGTGCCTTAAAAAGTTACTCAGTCGCGGGCATTAACATTCTGTCAACTTGTTTGTATTACTACAATTTTAACTGATCATGATTATTTTTATTTTATATTTATATATTGTTCTTTCTTTTTATAAATATCACAGCTTCAATTTATAACGAGTTTCGATACGAAGTAATTAATCATGTTTGATCTTCATTGTGGTTCTTCCGAAAAGTTCAAAGTGTATTTCGCTTTCGTTGTGTCAAGTGGAGTTTCTCTTTAAAAATGTCTCAACTTTTTTTCTTTTCTGCTTTTATAGTTTTTGATGCAAATTTTTTAACTGAAATTAAATGGATGAGGCACTTTATATATTTCGTCTGGAATTCTCTCTCTCTCTCTCTTGTTCTTTGTCTCTCTGGCTTATTCTGTGTCACGCCCCATTTGTAGAATACTATTCGACGTGAATGGATTATTTCGTGCCAGTTACATAAATTAATTTAAGCTAGGAACAACTTATGTTGGCTAGAAACTAGGGATTAAAAGTTTTCGAAATAAGCTTTTTGGCCGTAGTTGTTTTAGTCTTGTGTATATCCAATTATTGATGATCTGGCATGGGAAATGTGTAATTTGAAGATATATAGATAGATTCAGTTCCGAATTTCATACTTACATCGATGCCATCGTTTCCCAGCGCAGAGCACTCTTGTATGTGCCAGAGGCGACCCCCCAACTGTCTGAGGCCCAACAAGTCCGTTATTATGGCACTGGGCAGAGCACCCAGTGCATCCTGCTTGTTGGCCAAGATCAGCAGTGGCACCTCGGACAGTCGCTCGTCCAGCAGCACATCGCACAGCTCACAGCGTGCCTCGGCCAAGCGAAACGCATCGGTGCTATCGACGACAAAGATCTGTGGAATATATTTGCTTAGACTTTTGGAACTGCTAACAAATTTTGGCTAATACCAGGACATTGGCCTCTTGGTAATAGGTATGCCACGTCTGACGCATCCTCCATTGACCACTCACGTCACGCATGCAAACCTTTAACTTTTTAAATCTCAAATGCTTTTCGGTCTGATTGGTTGTGGGAGTAATGCTCCTTATCTTGGAAAAGAAATCGCAAATCATTTTCGATAGATATTTTATAATTTTTATGTTCTTACTGCTTCCTCAGATTCTGAACCTATGCGGGCAGCCAGAGTTGTTTTGCCGGCATGGTTAAGGCCCAAGATTAGCAGATTAAATTCCTGCTCTGGCTTCTTTCGGAATAAGGCGAGGAACGAATTGACCCTTTTGCTTAAATTGGACATTTATTGAATGTTTTGCTTACTTTTTAGGTGTGAGCCTTAAACGTGCTACTACTGAGTTTTAAAAACTGGTTAAGCTTAAACTTTTAGATCTGAAATGCTTACGCTACTTTTATTTATTTTATTTCACATAACTAAGCATTGATATGTGCACTAATCATTGGTTTCGTTCACAATATGCATATTTTGCATTAATTTCTACTGGCCAAAGGTATACGTTGATTGCATTAATCTTATAATTACAATTTTATTTTTTCATATTTTTGCACACCCAGTCCATGCCCTCCTTGATGCCCGTGCCATCGACAGCTGTGCATGCTCTGATTTCCCAAGTGCGCTCTTCCAATTGCACCAGACCCAGTGCCTCGGCCACTTCGGAGGCGGTCATCGCATTGGGCAAGTCCTGCTTGTTGGCAAAGACCAGAAGCGGCACTTTCTTCAATCGGTTGTCCATCAGCATCTCAAATAGTTCACTGCCCGTCTCCTTAAGACGTGAGCGATCCGTGCAGTCGATGACGTAGATCTTAAATTACAGAAATATTTTAATATTTCAATTGTTTATGAAACTTGGAGAAATTTCTGGATTACCAAAACATCTGTATTGGCAAAGTAGTTCTTCCAATATGGTCGTATCTTCCATTGACCGCCAATGTCCCACACGTTCAGCTTGAAGCCATCTGCTGCTACCGATTTAATGTTGAAGCCCGCAGTAGGCGTCACCTGTGAATTATTGCAACGACTATTAGGAAAGCAAAAGCGCATCTGCTCCATTATACTCACCGTTTCAATATCCTCAGAGGCCAGTTGTTTGAGAATTGTTGTCTTGCCGGCATTGTCCAAGCCAAGCAGCAAAATACGCGCCTCCTTCTCAGGATTCGGGCGAAGTTTGCGCAACAGCGATAAAAGTCCCTAAAATTGCACACAAGAAAAACAAGAAAAAAGTTGTATTTTAAAATCTTATCAATTGGCGGGTAAACTTTAAATATCGATACTATTTTGAGTGCTACTCAGCTGGTCACACTTTTTGTACTCAGCTGTTGTACATGCAAAAGTTATCGATACCAGCAGTTGCACGAGTTTCCATGACAACAACAAATAATAAACAAATATTAAATTGGATAATAAGAAGCAATTTCAATATTTTAATTACGGTTATAGCCACATGTTAGATAATCAGTTTTACAAGCTGGCAAAATTACCATTTTTTTAAAATAACAATAAATAAATATGCAGCACGATCAGTTAAATACGAGCACTAATTTTAGCACTTCAATTTGAACACGATTCGAGTTGGAAATTTAGAAATCACCACCAAAGACAACATTACAGGTGCAATGCTAGCTAGCAACTAAACAACGGTCGACCAAACAATAGAGCAACCGCCGCAGGTAGAGGGGAACCCCTACCCCTCACCACTCACTTGCCCGCTGTGCTCGTCGCTGCGCAACCGCTCTCTGGACAAGCGGAAGATGCGACAGTTTCTATTTACGGGCTTCAATGCATTTGGGCAGCATAATATCAACAAAAACAACAACAGTTGTCGCACTTCCGGTCCCGTTGTTGCCTTAACCGGTTCGTAGTGCAAAACAGTTCGAATTTCCTACGCACACCAAATTCCTTCAATTTACTTCTAGAAATATGTACTCCACGCGACAGCAATGAGTACCCAATGATAATTGCTCCATGCTGGCGTTACACGGCTTATGCTGTGGGTCAAAGGCTATTTCTGCAAGGATTGTTCGACTCACAGCCGGGGGAATGCCTGGAAGTGGAGGCAGCTGTGAGGATTAAAGCACTGGCTGCCTGTGACAACCATTGCCTGGTGCTGCTGCAGAATGGCGAGCTCTTCAAGCTGGCAGCCAAGTTACGGGCGCAACTGGTGCAGATCAAATTGGAAAATCCTCCAATTGCAGCAGCCACCAAGCGGACTATTTTTGGAGATGCAAAGAGAATTGCTTGTGGGTCGCCAGGTGAAATTACTCACATTGCCTGTGGCTCGCACATCAATGTGGCCATCAGTGCTGGGAATGCCATCTACAGCATACCCAGTTGCCTGCACCAGTTTCCGGTGCGTCAGTGGCGAGTGCAGCAGCTGGAATGTGGAAATGAGCATGCCATCTTGCTCAACGGCAATGGAGATGTCTACAGCTGGGGCAACGGCCTGTGAGTTGAGGACCCTTAAATATGAGTGTAATTCTCATGCTGATTTTTCTTGCAGGCGCGGCCAACTGGGTCACGAGGCATTGGGCGTGCAAGAAACGCCTCGACTCATCGACGCGCTTGCCGGCATTAAGGTAAACAAAGCCAATTATTCGTCACTCCTTATCTATTGTCTACTTTTCTTGTAGATAACACACATTGCCGCTGGTGGTTGGCATAGTGCGGCAATTTCAGCATTTGGCGATCTCTATACGTGGGGCTCCAATTGCAATGGTCAGCTGGGTATGCGCGTCCTGAAACCCGGTGGCTTGCTAAAGGAGCCCACGGTTTATCCACTGCCTCAGCTGCATGATTTGCCCGAATGCTGTGAAGCTGCTCAAGATGCGGATGCTGATGCTGTCTGCTCACCCTTAAGGATATGTGCTGGCTCGCGGCACACGCTGCTGGTGCGCAGCTGTGGTCGGGTTTGGGGCAGTGGCTGGACAATCCATGGTCAGTTGGGCAAACAGCTCGAAAAACGGACATATTTGGACAAATTCGAAGCCATTTACGATGCACCTGCAAATTACGATTATAATGTGATTTGTGGTCCTTGGGCCACATTAATTATGTTGTCTAAGTAAATACGTATTTTTATGTCTTAAAACAATTTTGTATTTATCTGTATTTTGATTGATTATTTCAACTTTCATATGTGCATTGAATTTTGACTTTTTAAAATATTAACGCTTCTATGTGTGCACATGTTAAAGCTAGCTGCTATGGCACGCACTTTGCGTGTATAGTCGGCTCATTCTAGCATTTTGTGTATTTGCTTATACGTTAGCCAAGACTCAAACCAGCTTTCAGTTTTCTTTTAAAAAAGCTAAAAATATGTTTCTGAGATTTATTCTTAAATGTTAAGCAGAATATTCTCAATTTTGAAATTTTGAAATTCTAAGCAAACTCTGTGTTCTGTGTATAAAAACAGTCACAGTTGACTAAAGCAGCGAACTCAATAAATATTAGTATTTAAGTGGGGAAATTGCAAGCCTGGGCAGATAATGGCGTAAATCATTTGTTATTTAAGTTGCTGACCTTTGACATTCCATTTCACTTTTCGTAGAACTTTCGCACTGATGTGGCGCATTGGGATCTCCTTGCTCTATCCGGGCATCTATATGAACTGCATTCAGGATACGCTGGGCGATGAATACACCATGCTGTGGGTCAAAAGGGATCGAACATTTGTCGAGTTCGCCTTGCCGATCATCGCTCCGATTGGCATATTTCTTGCTTTATTGTGATAGGTCTGCCGATGCCATTGCCTACGTCGTTGTCGCTTTCGTCGTCGTCGTCGTCGTGTAATCAGTAATTTTATTTTTAAAACTGTTATTAAACAATATTTACTTTGGCATAAGTCAGACATGCAGTGCAATCAACTTTTCAGCACTTGGGGTTCAGATCGGCGACTAAATCGCCAACTGACGCACCCACCGACTGACGACGGTTTGGTGGGACTTTCTTTGTTTGAAGTGTGTCCCTGTATGTGTATAGTGTATGTGTGTGTGTGTGTGTATATAATTCTAGGAAAGTAATGTGATAATTTCGTTATTACTGGAGTAGCTTAGGGGTTTAATGTGCGACTTTACGATATGCACACATATTTTTAGTTTTTTCTCTTTTTTAATAAATTAAAACAATTCTAATTGAATTGAAGTAAAGCCAAAAACAAGCAAACAAATAATAATAAAAAAAATATGTGAAATGGGTTTCCAATATAAGAAAGGAAATATAACAAATTAGTACTTTAATATAATTCTCATAAAAGTGTTGTTCGTCATTTCTTAAATCTTAAGATTTTTTGATTTACAATCAGTTAAACTTAGGAAATCGCGCCAAGCGTAACTTAACCTATTATTTAGGATGTATAATTCTTCTGTTGTGTCTTTCTAAAATTAAGAAAAAATTTGTATCACTTCCAGGATATTGGAGAAATTTTATTTGAGTATGAACTGAATAAAATATTAAAAGATAATATTATAAGTAACAAAAAAGAGAAGCTCTGTAATATGTTATAATATTGAAAATAAGAAGAAAGTGTCGCTGTACACTTTTACTAATATTAATTAATTAATTAATATTGAGAAACAATATTTGTAATTTTCAGCGCTTTAGACATATTTCAAGTATATTATTGGAAAAATGTAGTCTGTGTAGACAGAACTCTCTCATTAAACTTTTTGTCAATTAAAATATTATTTTGTAGCCATTTCATATCATTTTATTGCGATTATCATAATTTGATGGCGACTCTTTTCCGAGTGTGTATTAAACCATTTTGTATTACACTCGTAGTGCTCTCATTGCTCCCCTTTGGCCCATCCATCTCTGTCTCCATGCGTATCTGTCTGCCGTGCAGTGAGTTCAACGATTTTATGTTATTTGCCAAATGAAAAAAGTAAAAACGAATGTTTATCTTATAACGCACTCCGTGCGCTTCGTTCTAGCAACCGGATCGGACAGAATGCGGTGCGCAAATAGGCTTTGCTTTTGGGCTTTACTTTTTTATGACAGCGCCATTTTTCGAGCAAACTTTGTTATCAACAAAAAACGTAGAAGCAAAGAAAAAGAAAATATACTAAGGCGGAAAGTGTCATTTTTAGGCCGCAAAACTATTTGCTACCAGGCCACTGACGCTCCAACACCACAGAGTGTGGGCGAAAGGGGAAAGTAGAAACGAAAAGCAGGGCGTGTGTGTGGGGGGGGGGGGGGCGTTTGAGTTCAAGCGCCTGGCTCAAGGCGAATGTGGTTGAGTTTCCGTTTCTGCAGCTTATCAGAGCCACTTGAAATATCCGACCAGCCCAGCACAAAAAGTGCTAATTGTGGCACTCCCTGTGTTTATCTCTGTGTATGTGTGTGTGCGTATATGTATGTGTGTGTGTGTGTGTGTGTGTAGGTGCATGTGGTTTTCGTTACTCGAAAATTGTAATTCATGCGTGCCCGCAGACGCCAAAGTTTCAACAGAAATCAGTCAATCATAACCAAAAAGTACAGGAAAAGTACAAATAAAAAAATAAATGCTCAGCTCGGCTTGTTTGCTGCCCCCCTTCGACAGGCTGCAAGTGCGTGCTGTGCCGCATGCAACGTTGCACATAGCACCCCAATAGCCTGCCCCCCGAGACAAACAATGGCTACTCCTTGGCTACTTGGCTGCTACTCTCGCTGTTGGCTGTGCTGCGCAAAGAAGCAGGCCTCAACACATTTACCAATAACCCATTACCCCAAACACTGACCTACCTTGGCGCCCAGCCTATTTACATTTGGGCGTAGTACATTGACCACTAACCACTGACCACCCCTGGCCACCTCAACTAATCATCACTTTGGATTTGCGCTAATGACTTGCCGCACACATTCCCCCTACCCCCAAACACACTTCTCTTTGGAGCTTGTAAGCCCACATTAAGTGTAAGGAAAAAAAGAAAGAGAAAAAGAACGAAATATGAAACGTGTTCATAAAACGTTTTGGCATCCCAAATGTACACATGTAAAGAGTCGTTGCAAGTCCCCATAGACGTGCCATAAAAATTATGCACGAATGTATTTGCTTTATTCATACATACTTGCACACATACACATACACATATACATATACACATACGTATGCATTTATTTATGTGTGTGTGCAAAGCGCTTCTATTCAGATTGCTGCCCAAATAAAAAGTTGCCCTCGACTAGCCCGAAAATAAAAAAAATCAAAATGTGTAAGCGAGAGAGAGAGAGAGAGAGAGACAGAAAGAGAGAGAGAGGGGAACGAATGCAGCGTCACATTTTTACGGCTCCATTCATGTGACGACGGAAGTGTCAAGTGGCTGTTGGCAACTCGTCGACGACAACCAGCTCTCATCCTGCGCGTCCTTTTCGTCAACGTTGCCGTCGCTGCCGTTGCTGCTCTGCTCTGCATCGTCGAAAATGCCGTTATTGTTACCAGTTGTCTACCTTGCCGCCTCCGCTTGCATATATCCATGTTTGAATACATATACACCCCATCACCTATCAGTCCTCGCTCGCTAACACACACACACACACACATGGCCCCTGTCTACGTGTGCCAAGTTGCATTCTGGGCTCTGCGTTGGCGTCTGCCGTTGAGTGGCAAACTTTTTTACGTATCCTCCTATCGTTTCGTACGGCTAAGTATGTTTTTCTTCTCATTTTTTTGTTTTCGTGTGTGTGCGTGTGTGTGTGTGTGTGTGTTTTTTACTCGTACCCTGCACCATTTTTATATGCCCTTCATTTGGGTAGCTTTGTTCTTTTTGGTACAGTTGTGTTTGTGGGGTTAAGTGACTGTGCAATGTACGAATAAGCAGTTGAAATACGTTTACACGGCATGCAAATAGTCCCACTGCTCTTCTCAAAGCGGTTTGCCACCATTATTCGCTATACTTTGAAAGTCGAGCGAAACAATTGCTATTTAGACTTTACAGTAACTTTCAATTTGGGCAGATTGTAATCAGCCAAATAAAAGAGAAACAAAAATGCCATTGTAAATTGTAAAATTGTAAGTTCAAGTCTGTTTTTTTATAGAAAATAAGAAGAGCAACATTGGCCCAACAAAAATAACATTTTTGTGAAATTTAGTCTTATACGGAATTTTGCTAGAAATTTGTATTTAACGATAATATGGAACTTAAACTAAATAATCCCTGGTTGATCAAATCTGAACTACTTAATAATAATAAAAGTTCTTCGTATAAACAGGATGACAGAAACTAAAAGGTGTTTTACTCAGAAATAAAAGAAAGAATTGCCAAATAGTGAACAGTTCGGGCTGATTACATAATTATTATGCCGAATTAATCAAAAAATAATTAAACAATAATTAAATAATAATTATTAATGCTCACCTATGAGACATTCTTCGTAACTGTCCTATAAATACATATCAACTCAATTGGATTATTTTAATGTACATAAATCGATTAGCATTCTTGCTGCTTAAAATGCCATGAGAAGGACGCGCATTGCGTTGACAACTTGATTGTCCTGGCCCCACAAAAGCAATGCTTAATTGAAGTAAGTCACTTACATAACCAACAGCAGCAACAGCACCAGCAGCAACAGTAACAACAACAATGATAAAGACAAGATTATATGATTACGCGGCGGCTGGTTCCATGGCCCACGCACATCGTGCCACCGACAACAGCTTTCGCTTTCGCTTTTGGGCCAGTGAAACTCGTCCCTTGCCACATCCTCCACCAACAATAGCAACACCAACAACAGCAGCAACAGCAGCAACAGCAACAGCAGCAGCAGTTGTAGAGCCACTTAACAGCAACTGCTGCACATTTGCATTGCGTCTGTCTAATGAAATTCTGTGCTGTTTGGCAGTTGGCAGACTGCGTTTCGACCTTCGCCTTCGTTAGCTGCACTTTTTGGTCAAACAAAACGCCCAAAACCGTTGGCCATTCATGGTCACAGAGCCGGATGCCCAGGCTTGCCAGGCTGCCCTGGCTGCCCTGCTGCTCGTCTGGCTGCTTGTCTGGCGGTTGTTATTTTTGGCGCAAACGTGCCCAGGCCGGCATCGCAACTGTATATGTATATCTATGGCATTGGGGCGATGATGGCAACACGCACACAAACATATCAACACACATACACACACACGCACACACAAAAAGAGCAAAAGCGTCAGATTCGAAGTCGTTTTGTTGCATCCTCCACGCTGTGGCATTGGCATTGGGTAAATGTGTGGCACCAGGCAGCCGGCAGTCAGCCGGCTTTTCTTGTTGTTTTTGTTGTTGTTTTTGTTTTTGTTGTATTTTTGGCATGCCGTCTGCTGTTTGCTGTTTGGCAAATGGTGCCACGCTGCGTATACGTATCGCGCACACAACTCTATTTTTGTTTGTGCAATTCGGTGATTCATGTTGCCGGCGTTAATGCGCTTATGGGATCATAAGCTATGGGCAGCTGCTGTAATCACTTCCAGGAAAGTTCACACTGCAAACAGACGCTGCTTTAGTAAGCATTGCCAGCTAATAATCACAGTTTCTAGTAGTTGCACTTCAATGTGGCATATTATTCTGAATAAAATAATCGAAAGATTTAGCAAATTTCGTTTGAAATATACAGTGAATATTATTCCACAGATTGGCAGGCTTTTTATTTATAAATACTCTTTGAATGTACTGAAAACTATTCACAAACCTGAACTGAAAATGCTTGCGCCCGCTGATAGCAATGAGATCAATATGAAAATACATTTTGGAGTATGACTTGGTGGTCTCTCATCTGGTATTGATGAAATTCGTCCAGTGTACATTAAATGTCAATTGTAATGCTCTGCATTTAAATTGCTGGC